AAACAAACAAAAAAAAAAAACCTGACAAGCTAAATCCTTAAAGGGCCATGGTATTTTAATGGCATGCTTTTCCTCAAAATGCTTCTATATGCAAAGCTCTCGCTCCTCAGCCTTCACCTCAAAAGTCACAGCTGTGATGAAGTGTTTCTTGCCTGACAAAGTTAAAGGCTCCTACCTCTTCCATAGAGATGCAAACAACCCTCAATTATACTGTCTGCTCCAATCTACTATAATTATTTGTTGTCAGGCCTGTCTAACCACTTACTCCCCTGTGGGATTTGGCCTATGTTGTTTTTCACTCTCTCTCTCATACCTAGGACAATTTTTTTTTTGAGATTTACTTATTTATTTTATGTATATGAATGCTCTACCTGCATGTAGACCTGCACGCCAGAAGAGGGCATCAAATCCCAGTATATAGATGGCTGTGAGGCACCATGTGGTTGCTGAGAATTGAACTCATAACCTCTGGAAAAGCAGATAGTACTCTTAACCCTTGAGCCATCTCTCCAGGACAATTCTTGACATTAGCAAATGCTTCTTTGTTTGTTTTCTTGTTTGTTGGTTGGTTGGTTGGAGACAGGGCCTCAAGCAGGAGAGGGCGTCCTTGAACTCCTGATTCTCCTGCCTCCACCGCCCAGGTCTGGGATTACAGGCCTGAATTTACTTTTGTTGTTGTTATTGTTTTTAGCAGAATATCTTTTATAATTTGACAACTTCACACATGTAAAGGATGCCTCTTGTTTAAATACACCCATCCCTCCTGGAGTCCCTCCCTCCCCCTCCCCTCCTCAGCTGTCTCCCTCTCCTCTGCATGTCTTTCTTTGTTAGTTGTTAATAATCCATTGAGTCCAATTAGTGTTGCTTACTAGAATGTTAACAAATCCTGTTAATTTGATCTTGATCAGAGCTTCATCGAGTTCATGGGTTCCACAACTGTAATGAAAGTTTCAGTTTCTTTAAAAACTCAGTTATGTCATGTAAATACGCTTTTGTTTTAATCCCAAGTGTGAGACTTTAGTTGGGCTATAGTTTGTCCACAGCTGTTAATTGTCCCGTGTGGCGTGTGGCTTTTGCCAGCTGGTAACGGCCTCACAGGGAGGGTCATGGCCTAAGGTTCTGAGGATATAAATTTGAAATCGGGAAAGAGAGGAATAGCAGTTCGGTGTTGGCATGTGACCTGTAGCAGTTTGAAGAGGCCCAGGAGATGGGACGGAGGAGTGGCGGTTTGGGCACAGCGGCCTGAGGGAGACTGCTGGCTGTGTTTGCTGTCGATAACCCCCAAAGACACACCGACCCTAAACCACGGGGAGAAGTAAGAGGGGGTCTGTGCCCCCTTCCCTTCTCTCTCCCCTCCTTACGGTTGGTGGAAGGGAGGTAGAGGCCTAAACACCCCAAATAAAGCAGAATACAGATAACCATGTCGTGTCCCTGAAACAATCTCACAGCACCCCATCCTCTGGCGCTTAGCTCTTTTCTGTCCGTCCCAGAAGGTTCCTTAGCCTTGCCGGGAGGGAGGACTGAGATGGCCCACACAGAACAGAGCACTCAACATCCTCAGAGCTCTACCAGTTAGGAGTCAGCATTAACTGCTGACTACTGCAGAGAAGTGTCTCGGCCCCAAACTGAGGGGGCCACTAATCTATGGAGATGGGCATTAGGCAGCTTGACAGCATGTCCTTGAACAACAACAGCAGTCTCGGCCCCAAACTAAGGGGGGCACTAATGTATGGAGATGGGCATTAGGCAGCTTGACAGCATGTTCTTGAACAACAGCAGCAGGTTCTTCCCTGGGGCCTGGGACCTCCTGATCCATGGCCTTTTTTTTTTTCTTTTTTTAAGATGTATGTATGTATGTATGTATTTATTTATTATTTTTACAATGTTCTGACTGCATGCCAGAAGAGGGCACCAGATCTCACTACAGATGGTTATGAGCCACCATGTGGTTGCTTGGAATTGAACTTAGGACCTCAGGAAGAACAGCCAGTGCTCTTAACCCTTAAACCACTCAGCCCTGATCCATGGGCTTTTGACCATGGTTGACAGCATGAGGTGTGAATTCCCTCCTTTGGAATAGGCCTCAAATCCAATCCCAAAGCAGTTAGTTATTCCCGTAACTTTCATGCCACTATTGTACCAGTGGGCACATCTTGCCTGGCACTAACTTTGCCTTTAAAACAAAACAAAACAAAACAAATTAATTAAAATGTTCTTTTTAGTGCTTCAAATTCGAGTAAAAAGAAATCTTATCACAAAGAATCAAATCTCAGCTCAATGCTCTTCAAATCCATGACCTTTTAGTTATTTGAATAAAATGTACTAATAAACTTAAAGTATGTACTGATAGTCCTTCAATATGTTATATGTTGAAATGGGGATTTGAACATTAAGTATGTTAAATTTACAAACATGCCATACTAAAACAACCTGTTGTTACATTGTAGTTGGAGCTAGATTATGTGAAACTTTGTGATTTTCCTGCTTCCTAGATTTGCATTTATGTATTATGTTCTTTTTTTGAGGTAAGAGTCTCACTCTGAACCCTCACAGCCTGGACCTCATAGCAATCTTCCTGCCTTGGATTCTGTAATTCTGAGATTACAGTCATGAGCCACATGCATGCTTAGCTTGCATTCATTTTAGTTTAAAATAAAAACATTCATGTGCACATGCCTGTAATCCCAGCACTCTGGGAGACAGAGGCAGGTGGATGTCTATGAGTTCCAGGCCAGCCTGGTCTATAAGGTGAGTCCGGGACAGCTAAGGCTACACAGAGAAGCCCTGTCTCAAAAAAGAAAACAAAACATTCATGTAGGATCTATGTTTCATACACATCTGGCAATCTCAGTTGGCTCCCTGGACCCCAAGAAAAGGTAGAAAACACCCCACAAAGTGTCCTCTGACTTCAATACCAGTGCCAGCACCTTCCATCACAAATGGAATTTAAAAGTTAAAACATTCATGTATGGGAATGGCAGATCATGTGCAAATGTCTCAGAAGAGTCACTTACAGTCTGGAGCGTGGCCCTCAATCTTACTTGCAGGGGATTTAATTCAGGACGTGGCTGCTCTGGCAATAGATCACATCCATAGACCTGGGTCTGTATGATCCCACTGGAACAGAGGCACACCTTTAATTTCAGGAGCCAGAGGCAAGCAGATCTCAGAGTTCAAGGCCAGCCTGGTATAGAGCAAGTTTCAGGAAAAGCTTAAGGGGTCTAGGCGTGGTGGTACACACTTTTAATCACAGCACCCAGGAGCCAGAGGCATGCAGAACTCTGAGTTCTAGTCAATGCTGTTCAGGCAGTTTGGTGGAAAGTGAGTTGAGAGGTGGGTTCCTGGCCGTTCAGGTCATAGACTTCAGGGACAGTTTTTACCTAGGGAGTTTTACAAAGACAAGTTGCAGAGATAGAACTCAAGTGAAGACTGAAGGAACCAGAAGATTAGAACAGATTGCTAGAGTTAGTTTGAAAAAAAAAAAAAGAAAAAGAAAAAGCTGAGCAATTCAGAGGCCAAGAGAGAAGCCAGATTGAATCAGTCAGCTTGGAGAGGTGTTTAAATCAGAACAGTTGAGTTGAACCAGCCAGCCCAGGGCTCAGAAAAAGAGCTAGGAACGGTGAGCGTATTCAGCAGTAAGTCTCAGAGGCTGAAAACATTCTAAGCCTCGATCAGATTGATATTATGGAGGCTAGAAGCTTCCAGGACTAGGCTTCTGGGACAATGACCTCAGGCAAATAAAAGTTAACTCACCCAGGAATACAATTTGTGAAAAAACTTGAAGCTTAAAAACTTACATTCAAAAGTATAAACAGCCAGGCATGAAGGCACATGCCTATAATCCCTGCACTGAAGAAAATGAGGGCAGGGGCATCAGGAGTTCAAGGCTATCCTCCACTATAAATTCAGTCGTAGGCCAGCCTGAGATGCATAAGACCATGTCCTAAGCAAAAGAAAGTCAATGTGCTGATCATAGTGAGAAGATCCAAAACAGGTTTGGGATTTTTTTTTTTTTATTCGACAGTGTAGCCTTGGTAGTCGCAGACTTGCTTTGTAGGCAAACTGGCCTCAGACTCACAGAGATCCACCTGCCTCAGCCTCCCAGAGTGCTGGGATTACAGGCATGTGTCACCGCGCCCGGCTGGGATATTTTTAAAGTCCTTTTTGACTTGAGAGAGAAATTTAAGTACATTCTCAAGGTGAATGATTAGGGCTAAAAACGGTGGATTCAGTCACGCTACTAAGAAAGAAAGTACGGTGAAATTTCATAGGTAAGGAATCACAAAAACGCCTCTGGCAAGGCATTTGAAAAGTTTAAAGTCAGGTAATGACAGAAAGACAAAATATCAACCAGTTGCTGGACACTTAACTCACAAAGCGTTGCGAAGAGCCAGCCCTCCGTCTGGTCCCTTCAGCTCACCTTCCACAGAATACCTAATTTCAAGAGTCATGGGAACCCCTTTGTTTATTTGACGTCCTGGGTTTTCCAGAAGAACTTTTTTTTTATTCTAACTTTTCCCCTCGGTAGCATTTATTTTAGAAGTCGAGCTCCTCGCTCGCCGACACCACTTCCACCCTCTCGCAAAATCCCCGGGGCTTCTCATGTCCCGGTGCTGGCGGCACGAACCAAACCACGTCATTCACAGCCTCTTGGCCCAGGCAGCCCAGCGGCTCCCGGGGCACCGACCGTCCCGAGCGTGGTCCGATCCCCGCCGCCTACGCGGGTTCCCGGCCCTACCCGTTCTCAACCTCAAACCCTGCAGGACTCCGAAGCACGTGACTGACTACAGACGCAGGACGTCACAGTCCCCCGGACTCAGTTTAGGACACACACCAGGCAACTGCGCAGCAACCCGGCGGCGGGGCGGGGCCAGAACGAGCGCGGGGCGGGGCCAGAAGGTTCGCGTCCGCGGCGGGCGGGGGCGGGGCCTGGAGGCGCGGGGCGGGGCCTGAGGCCGCACTCCTCCACCGCGCGGGGGCGGAGCCTGGCGGAGGCGGGCGGCGCGCGACGTCGTCTGGGCGGCGCGCGCGCCTCCGGGGGCCCGGCCGAGCGCTGCCGGTGCTGGTGGCGTCCGGGGCAGGAGGCTTGACGAGGAGGGCTTGCGGCGGCGTGTCGGGGTGTCGGTTTTGTGGCTGTCGAGGCCGCCCGCTCCTGGTCATGAGAGGTCAGGCCCGGGGGAGGGCGGGGAGGCGGAGGGTTTCCGGGGAGAAGAGCCGAAGCTCGGACGTGGGTGGAGAACTCTGTCCTCGCGCATTCCGGAAGAGTTGGCGTTCACTTTTCTCTCCCTTTCCCCCCCTTTTCCCGGTTGACGGATGAAGGAGGGCAGGGAGGCGGTCTTGTTGGGTGCTTAGAGCGGGGACGGGAGCTGTCCTGTCCGGAGCCGCCGAAACGTCACACTGTAACTGCGCGGGCTCGGGCGGCCCCCGCCGCGGTAGCCCCGCGAGACGGCAGAGGCCCGGCGGCGGGGCACCGCGGGCTCCCTCGGCCGAGAGCCGCCCTGCCACAGCCTCTTCTGCCCCCGCCACACACCTCCGCGGTGGCTTCTTCTTTCTTCCTGGAGGCCAACTCCTTATTTAGACTGAAGCATCACGTAGCAATTACGTGATGACTCTCCCCTAAGGACCCTGTTTCAAAGGTATTTGAGTTAACATTCTTTTGAGAGGGGAAGTGATATTCTTGGTAGCACCATTAATTACTGAAAACCTTATTAGCTTTGGGGAAGCTAGAATGAAATGTGTAGGTCACCCAAATGAAATGTTTATTATCTGTGTTGATGCCTAACAAGCCACTGATATTTTTTTTCCTTCTACGCATTAATGAATCCTTAAAAATTTGTTAGAATTATTTAGCGTGTGTGTGTGTGTGTGTGTGTGTGTGTGCGCGCGCGTGCGTGCGCTCGTGAAGACAACTTGTAGGAGTCAGTTCATTCCTCAACCATATGGGTTGAGAGGATTTAACTCACATCAGCGGTCTTGATTTGGCCGAGGGGACCTTCCTTCACTAACCGTCTCACCCACCCTTAGCAAACTTCTTAGTGTGGGCTCTGCCTCAGAGTACATGTACGCACATATTCAGTATGAGTACTGCTATTCATAGGTGTATCTGCTGGGCACCCGTTCTTTAGACTGTTTGCTGATGTCTTTTGGTGTTAGAGAAATCAAGACATCCACAGTTCAAACGCAAAATGCTCACTAAATATGTTTTGTATTTTAAGTAGCCCTAAGGTTCAAAATCGCATTGGTTTGCCAAGTTGGAACTTAGGATTGGAGTGGGGGCAGCCGAGCCTTGGCGGTAGCAAAGACTGAAGGAGTGACAGAGGACAATCCATCTGTGACGATCCACTGCTCCCTTGGCGAAGAAAGGACATCTAGTGATCACGACATTGCTTGTGATTGACTGAGAATGCTTTCTGCTGTTTTATTTTATTTTTAAGGAGAAAGAGTCCTGAAGCAAAAACATCTTAGAGAAAAAATATTCCAGGGCCATGCAAGCCAGCTGTAACCAGCTGCACGATCCGCCAGGCGCCGCACGTGATAAAGATGGCTCAGCTGCTCAGTGTGTTCTCCCATCAAGATCCACAGACGGTTCTCTTCACCCTGGAGATGTACATATCCAAATAAACTCCGGACCTAAAGAATACCCTGAGAATCCAAGCTCTAGAAATGCAAGGCCGGGGGTCTGCGCCTGTGCCCATGGATGCATGCAGAGCCGTTTCCGTAGTCACTCCCACAGTGACGCAAGGCCACCTGAGGACTTTGCCACAGAGTCTGGAGAACATGGAAGTGGCTCCTTCTCAGAATTCCGCTATCTCTTCAAGTGGCTGCAAAAAAGTCTTCCTTATATTTTGATTCTGGGTATTAAACTTGTTATGCAGCATATAACAGGTAGGAAATAATAAAAGATTGACTAAATTTCTGAATTCAGTTTCTCTTTTTATTGACAATTTTAACCTATGCATTTTGGTTGCTAGCTTTTAAAATTGTATGTTTTAATTTATACTATTAGCGTTTATAATCTTTTTTCTTTCTTTCAATTAACTAGAACTTATTTTCTAACAGGAATTTCTCTTGGAATTGGGCTGCTAACAACTTTTATGTATGCAAACAAAAGCATTGTAAATCAGGTTTTTCTAAGAGTAAGTATAACAAGCAACTAAATTATTAACTGTTTCTCTCTACAGAATTAGAGATAACTTTGAGAGAAATAGAAGTAACTTTCAAGAGGACTAGGAAGCAACAGGATAAATGGTGATGTCCACCACTTGCTTAATTTTGTTTTCTAAATGATTTGGAAGGAATTACCTGTCCTAATGCTTAGTGACCTCACCTTACTTTGTTGCTTGGTCCCAATAAAGAAAACATAGACCAGAGGATCAGAAGACTTGGACCACACTGTGTGATCCAGTTTGGCAAGGATCTTTGTACTTTATGAGTTATTAATTATACTGAGTAGTGTAGTATCATTAAAAACTTCAGTTGATGCACCATAAGATTGAAAATAAAGAAAATGGAACATTGAGTAAATGTGCATTTTAGGTGTTTGAGACAGGGTCTCACTATGACTAACTGGCTGTCTTGGAACTCACTCTGTAGACCAGACTGGCCTCAAACTCGTGTGCCTCTGTCTCCCAAGTGCTGGGATTAAAGGCTTGTGCCTTAACCATGAATGGCAGGTGTCTCATTTTTTAAAAAAAAGCTTGAGAAATTTTTCTAGTAATATAAAGGTTCAAATCATATAAATTATTAGAAAAAAATTCCAAGAATCTGAAATTTCACCTTAAGAGGGATCCTATCTGGAAATTTATAGTATAGCATATTAACAAAAATTTAGTACATAGTTTAAAACTATTGCAAGTTAATGTTGGGCATGGTGCTGTGTGCTTATAATCCCAGAACTGGGGCTGTGAGGCAGGAGGATTACTGTGAATTTAGAACTGGCCTGGAATATGTATTGAGTACCAGGCTTGTGCTACAGAGTGAGACCTTGTCTTTTGAGAAAGAAAAATTACTAGTACAAGATTGAGTTCTTTAATTTTGGAGATTTTGCCTGTACACAAGGAGGAGTGTTTTCATTTATGTCTGCCTTGTCCACATAGCCTAGAGGCAGTTTTATGTAGTGTTTTTAGAGTACCAGTGTTGTGACTGGCAGTGAAGTCAGGTGTGGAATTTTCCATTGGGGTTATCATGTTAGTTCTCAAAAGGTTGTCCAGTTCTTGGATTAGGATGATCAATGAAAACTTTGAATTAAACTAGTAATTAAAACTTGAATTTTAAAGATCAAAATTATTGCATATTTATGAGCTGATTTACTTGAATGCAGTTTTAAAATTTCTGTTTTGTGGAAAAGAGAAAAGGGGGGGGGCTGCAGAAGTAAAGGACAGGTCCTTTATGTCAGTGTGAAGACTGGCCTCTTTGACTCATAGGTCTTGTAATTTTTAAATTTTATGTGGGGTGGTGCTTTGAAACAGGGTCTCTCTACATAGCCCTGGAGCTCTATGTAGACCAGGCTAGACGAAAACTCCCAGAGATCCCCCTGCCTCTGCTTTCCCAGTGCTGGAATTAATTAAAGGTGTGCCAGCATGCCCAGCTTGCATTTTTAATTTCTGTTTAGAGTTCTGTTTTGTTAATTAAGGAATATGATATAAACAGTGGTTGTGATGATGAACAGCTTAGCAGGTAGTCTGTATTTTTTTTAAGAATAAAAAACAGTGTAAAGTAATAAATTGATCTTCAAATGATATTTAATATCGCTTAAAAATTCCAGCCTAATACAACACAGTAAATTACAAAATTGTTTCTTTTACAGGAACGGTCATCAAAGATTCAGTGTGCTTGGTTATTGGTGTTCTTGGCAGGTTCTTCCGTTCTTTTATATTACACCTTTCAGTCTCAGTCACTTTATTACAGGTAATCAGAGATCCTAGTATACTTCTGTTGTTTATCATTTATTCCGCAGCACCTACCTTGCCTGAATCTTACTCGAACATAATGCTTATTATAGTTCAATTTTCAGTTATCTCCTTTCATGAGTGACAGGTGTGACTTACAGACGTGTATCCCCAGTTCCTCCTTGGCACTTAGCCTGTGCTCAGTTAGTACTTTAGATGAGTGGATATCTGTTGAACCAGCTTTTTGTTTGTTTGTTTTCTGTTTTTGGGATAGGCTCTTACTGTGTAGTCTAGGGTGCCCTCCAACTTGCAGTCCTACTGACTCAGCAAAGTGAGTGCTAGAAATACAGGTGGGTGCCACTCACATAGTTTGCTTATTTATTGTATTTTATGTACATTGGTGTTTTGCCTGCCTGCAGTTATCGGATCCCCTGGAACAGGAGTTACAGAAAGTTGCGGGCTGCCATGTGGGTGCTGGGAATTGAACCCTGGTCCTCTGGAAGAGCAGCCAGTGCTCTTAATGGCTGAGTCATCTCTCCTGCCCCACACTCACTTTAATCAGTGTTTATTTAGTACCATTAGATGGTTGTTATCAAACTTTTGTTTCTAAGAATGAGTCATTAAACATGTTAACATGCACTTTCATGTCAGATATTCTGAATTTTCAGCTTTAATCAGATAATTAGAAGGCCCAGGTTCAGTAGAATTGAGATGGACACATCTGGCCTCTAATGAGTGGGAGAGTGGCTGTGAGGCGAGAATGACCTCTGGGGCTGGAAAGACAGCTCCTTGGTTAAGAGCACCTGCTACTTTTCCAGAGGAAACTCCAGTTTCAGGGGATGTGAGCATCCCATGCCCTCTGCTGACTTCACAGGCACCTGCACTCAGACATACACATTCCATCCCTCAGCACACACACAAACACATAATTTTAAATTTGGCGTTATCAGAATGTATATGTTTAATACTTAAAAATCACAAGTCTGGGCACAGCCTGTGTAAACTGGGTGAGGCCAGCCTAGGTGACATAGTGATACCCTGTCTGAAAGAACACACCAAACAAAAGAGCTCACACCCAGGGAAAGGAAGGTTAGATGGATAAGAGGGCCCAGCTCTGGACATGAAAGGAGTCCACATCCCTGACTTGGTGGACCTACTGTAAAAGTGTATTGTTAGCTGCCTGGAAAGAACAGGCTGAAGGTAGAGTTCAGTGATAGGGGACTTAACTGTTTCAATAAATATGTAAAATACTGCAACAGACTTAAACCTTTACCCACACTTTACGCTTCTATGTTGTTTTCATAAATGTTTATGTTTTTCTCTTGGTAGCTTAATTTTCTTAAATCCTACACTCGATCAGTTGAGCTTCTGGGAAGTTCTTTGGATTGTTGGAATTACAGACTTCATTCTGAAATTCTTTTTCATGGGGTTAAAATGCCTAATTTTATTGGTGCCTTCTCTCATCATGCCTTTTAAATCAAAGGTAAGAAACTAATGCTTATTGGAATGATGTTAGTTAGTTAATTAATTAATTAATTAATGCTAACTAATTCTAGTTAGTCTTCATTTGAATGTATCTTAGTTTAGAGGCCAGAATAGGGCATCAAATACCTTGGGGCTATAGTTAGAAGCATTTGTAAGCTGCCTAGTGTGGGTGTTGGGAACTCAGGTCCCCTGGAAAAGCAAGAAATGCTCTTAAACTGCAGAGCCATCTTTCCCATACCTGAATAACCTATTTAAAAAAAAAAAAAAAAGATTTATTTATTTATTTATTTATTTATTTATTTATTTATTTATTTAGTCAGTCATTTATTATGTATACAATGTTCTGTCTGCATGTACACCTGCAGGCCAGAAGAGAGCACCAGATCTCATTATAGATGGCTGTGAGCCACCATGTGTTACTGGGAATTGAACTCAGAACCTCTGGAAGAGCAGCCAGTGCTCTTAACCTCTGCACCATCTCTCCAGCCCCAAAATAATCTATTTTTAACAACCTTTTTATTACTTCTGCCTGACAACCATTTGCTCAAGTACTTCAATTGAAAATACTAAGTTAATTGGTCAAAATCAGAATTATAATTGCTTCAGAACAATTGAAAACTCAATCTTTACATCATATATGGGAAAATTCTTTATTTGTGCTTTGTCTCCAGGGCATTTTCAGTTGATAAATGGCTACATACAGTTACCCAGTGACTTGTTATTAGAGACAAGGTTTCACCCTATAGCCTGAGCTGGTCTGGTACTCACTGCAATCCTGCTGTCTCAGCCTCCCAAATCCTGGGTTATAAGTGTGAGACACCATATCCAGCTTATAAATGAAATCTTCTTTCATATTTATTTCTTTTGTATGTACATGTGGGCTCTCTACCATGTAGGCTCTGGAGATTGAACTAAGGTCATTACCTGTACCCACTGGGTCATCTCATTGGCCCAACACCAATCCATGCCATGTAATAGCAATGGTATGTGATACTCAGATTGAATTTGTCAGTGCTAATTATAATTCTGAAATATAATTTCAGTTATTATGATTAGCACATTATATGCTTTATGACATTCTCCTTCCAGTATTAAGTGTCTGTGCTATGTGTTTAATACTTTGGGTAGCTGAATTCATTTATTCTTCCTTTTTTAGGGTTATTGGTACATGCTTTTAGAAGAATTATGTCAGTATTACCGAATTTTTGTCCCCGTTCCAGTTTGGTTTCGGTACCTTATAAGCTATGGGGAGTTTGGTAATGTAACTAGATGGAGTCTTGGGATATTGCTGGCTTTACTCTACCTCATACTAAAAGTAAGTAATATTATAAGCCTGGAAGAGTGAATCCTATAATAATTACTGGCTTTACAATACTACTAAGCTGCCTCGGAATTTATCTTCCTATCACTAGTTGAAAGAAATGGCAGACTCTTAACTGTTTAGAAATGTGAAGCTGGCATACACCTATAATTCCAGCTACAAAGGAAGCTGAGGCAGGAAAACATGAGTCTGCCAGTGTTGGCAACCTAGCAAGCAAGACATTGCCACCTCAGTAAGGAGAGTGATGAGCAAAGAGTAGAAGGAACTTAGTGGTCTGGGGAAGGGGAACTGCATTGTTGCCCATGGTGCCTTGGCCTCCTAAGTAACTGAGATTAAAGTACCTGTTCCCATGCCAAGCTGTGGGTCTCAGTGTTTGTTGAGGAGTAGCAGAGTGGACTAACATATGTGTTACATCTAAGGGAGGTAAGTAGAAAAGACACAAACTCTCACAGTACCGTTTGTAATACAGTTCTCAAACCAGTGGAATATCTTGCCCTCTTTGCTTTATGCCCAATTCCTTCAACTTAGTGCTTTATTAAGCTTTCTAATTGTATGTGTTGGGGTCATTAAGATAGGATCTCACTGTGTAGCCCTGGCTGTCCTGGAACATGTTAGGTAGACCAATCCTTTTCTTTTTTTTCTTTTTTTTTTTTTTTTGTGACAGGGTCTCTGTGTAGTCCTGGCACTCACTCTATAAACCATACTGGCCTCCAATTCAGAGATCTGCCTGCCTCTGCCTCTTAAGTGCTGGGATTAAAAGTGTTTACCAACACTGCCCCATAAAACTTTCAACTCTAAATGCCAAGAATAATTGAATCAAATGAAGCTGACCTCTTCGCTCCCACCCCATTACTATTTTGTGTATGAGTGTTTCCCCTGTATTTATGTCTGTGCATCACACGAGTGCAGTGCCCACAGAGGCCAGAATTGGGTGACATCCCTGGGAGTGGAGTTCCAGATGGTTGAGAGCCTCTGTATGGGGGCCATATGGTTGCTGTGGTTGGAATGGAGGAACAGCCAGTGCTCTTAACCACTAGCCCCTGCAGTGTCTTTGGCATTGGCTGAATTGTCATAATGAAATTGTAGCTTTAGGCTGAGAGGTGGCTCAAATCTATGCACTAGTTTGTTAAACTTGAAGTAGGTTTATAAGTGGATGACTAGCTGTGCCGTACAGTGAACACTAGGTTAGGTGGGAATTGAATTTCCCCTTTGTCTTTAGATTTAACATGGGGGTTTTGAATTAATTTAACAAATTGTTTCTTTCTCTTTTAGCTTTTGGATTTTTTTGGACATTTGAAAACTTTCAGACAAGTTTTGCGAGTATTTTTTACACGACCAGTAAGTACTTTTTATCAGTTAAGGGATACTTCTACTTTGCTTCACTCTTATTTTCTTTAGTCCTGCTACAAGTAGAAATTCATGAGGTGTTTCTCTTCTATTTTGAGATTATTTTCTAATATTCTGGCACTTGGAGCTACCGTTCCTTTAATTTCACTGCCCACCAGTTACTTCAGAGCTTGTATATCTGAATGCCTGTTTGCCCTTGTAGTTACGTTGTCATTGTGGAGCTGGGGCTTGGTAGTAGGCTCTTAAAGTCTGGACAAGGAAGCACAAAAACAGATCCATTAGATATCTTTTAGGATTTACAAATGCACTCTCAAAAACTTTGTCATTGACTTTTGTTCCTTTTTTTTTATTCCATAGATGTTTGCTTTGTATATTTTCATTAATATTCCCTATTCCACTCTTATACTGAAATATATTTACATATATATTACTGAAATATAATATATATATAAAATACTGAAAATACTGAATATTTTAGTTTAAAGACAACTCAATAAAAATCCTACCTACCCTTTGCAGTTTTCTTTTTTCTTAAAAAAGATTATTTATTTATTAATTATGTATACGGTGTTCTGCCTTCATGTACATCTGCAGGCCATAAGAGGGCACCAGATCTCATTATAGATGGCCGTGAGTCACCGTGTGGTTGCTGGGAATTGAACTCACGACCTTTGGAAGAGCAGCCAGTGCTTTTAACCTCTGAGCCAGATCTCCAGCCCCTTTGCAGTTTTCTTACTCAAGGAAATTTAGTAACTTTCCTATATTCTGTGTTGGAAAATAAAGTATTCCAGGTGGGTCATAACATGCTATTAGAAGCTTTTAGGAGGCTAGGGATGGGAATGGAAGAGCCTCTGACCTAGCATTAAAGCTCAAGGGCTAGCTCCAGCAAGAAACTCTGGGGAAAAAAAGGAAAAGGAAAAAGATTAGTCCAGACCAACTGGCTAGGGAACCTTTTCTTCAAGATAATTAATGATATCAAAGCAAATGCTAGCTGGGTATTGGTGGGACCTGCCTTTGATCCCAGCACTTGGGAGGCAGAGGCAGGCAGATTTCTGAGTTGAGGCCAGCCTGGTCTACAGAGTGAGTTCCAGAACGGCCAGGGATACATAGAGAAACCCTGCCAAAAAAAAAAAAAAAAAAAAAAAAAAAAGCCACAACAACAAAAAGCAAATGCTGCTACATATTATGCAGACTTTAGAAGCCAGGCATGGTGGAGTACATCTTTAATCCCAGTACTCAGGATGTAGAGGCAGGAGGATCTCTGTGAGTTCAAGGCCAGCCGGTCTACAAAGTAAGTCCAGGACAGCCAAGGCTACACAGGGAAACCCTGTCTTGAAAAACAAAACCAACCAACCAAACCAACCAACTAAACAAACAAACAAACAAAAAAAAAAAAAACAAAGAGAAACTATAAAAAGTAAAGCCAGGCACAGCAGCACATGCCTGTAATCCCAGCACTCTGGGAGGCAGAGGCAGGCGGATATCTATGAATGCAAGGCCAGTCTGGTCTACAAAGTGAGTCCAGGACAACCAAGGCTACACAGAGAAACCCTGTCTCAAAAAAAAAAAAAAAAAATCAATTTAGATTTAAGTTAGTTCAATTGATGGTGATAAGCATCAATCATTTCACATAGTTGACTCTATTAAGATTAGTGCTGATACTGCCTCGAGAAAATGCCCTGTGGGCTGTGGGTGAGTGCTTGGCCTAGCATGCATGTGAGGCCCAAGGTTCAGTACCCAACACAGAAGAAAAGCAGAATATTAAAATAAGTACCTGGCATACCTTTACATACATTCTTCAACCTTATGAACAAAATGGAAGTCACCATAAATCCTCACTTAAAGGAAGTCTCCATGCTACAAAAATAGTGTTTTTTAAAAATCTTTTTATTATGTGCATGGATGTTTTGCCTACATGTGTGTCTGTATACCATATGCATGCAGTGCTATGGAGACCAAGGATGGAAATCAGATCCCCCTGGACCTGGAGCATGTGGGTACTGGGAATTGAACCAGAGTCTTCTTGGGCGGGGGGAAGGGTAGCCAGTGCTTTTAACCACTAAACCATCTCCCCAGCCCTACAGAAATGGTATTCTAGAATCCTGTCAGCGTAACTATCTGCAGTGTATTCTAAGTAACACTTCTTTGAAGGGCAATTAACATCAAGACCATCTAAATAGCATCCTGACTTGGTTCTGACATCTGTAATATCACCAGTTTCAAACTTCGTAGGTAATTTTATCCATGAGTTTTAGTTTGAAGTCCATCATCTCTGAGACCCATCTTGCTTTCTGTTTCTGTGACAGTGCTTGGGTGTTGTTCACCTCCCCCTTCATATCCACAGAAAGCTTTCACTGTTCTGAACTATCATGTGTGGTTAATGATTAAACCCTGCTGACTTTAGTAACAAAGTCATGCTCAAGAGTTCAGATTGTTTTCAGAACTTCAGAATGAATTCCATCTAGTATGTCTGATGCTTGAACCTACTAAATCAATCTCCATTGTGGACCAAACTCAGTTCTAGTGGGATAGCATTGGGGATTGAACCCTGAGCCTCAAATATATGCTACGCTGACTCCGTACCTCAGACTAGAATGTATTTCAAAACTAAACTCTCCACAGGAATTACTTCTAACAGAATTTGTCTTCATAGAGTTACGGAGTGCCTGCCAGCAAGAGACAGTGTTCCGATATGGATGGTATTTGTTCAATATGTCAAGCTGAATTTCAAAAGCCAGTTCTTCTCATTTGTCAGGTAAGATTTTTAAGCAAACTACATATAACATTTTCCTGATATGTGAAAATCATGTTTATGTTTGTTATGTGGCAGTGAAAGTAATACTTAGTGGAAGGTTTTATTCCAGGTAAATACTGTTAACTTATTCAGGATGGAAGGGATGTGGTAGATTGTCTAAATCATGTCCCTTACGTTCTGATAACTTTTGTGCAGAGGAGCATATGAAAGGGTTAGGGAGTGATTTGGTCAGCAACTTAGATACCAGAGCAGCTGGCAAACAGGCTGCATTTTTAATTGGATACTAGTTGTGCTCCATGGCAGCAGCAGCCTTTGTTACTAAATGTGCAAGGCTCCTTGCCATATTTCAGTTACTGTTGGTAAGTTACCATCACGCAGGTAAGTGATCATACTTAAAAGGCAGTGCCTGGAAAAAGTAGTCAGAACACTTGTAGTGACTCAGCCATTAAAAGTCATTTCCTCATTTGTTAACTGCTCTCTGAAATCCTTTAGGACTTTTTAAAGAATGTGATCCTCTATAAAGTGTGAGTGTAAGATCTGCTTCTTCATTCCCTTACAGCATATATTCTGTGAAGAATGCATTACCTTATGGTTTAACAGAGAGAAAACTTGTCCACTGTGCAGAACTGTGATTTCAGAACGTATAAACAAATGGAAAGATGGAGCCACTTCATCTCACCTTCAGATGTACTAAGTTGCACAAACCATTAGGGCCTCAAGACACTAATTTTATCTGGTGTGATAACTATTGATACAGGCATCACAACTGATTTCCAGGAATAGAATAATTTTTTTCAAGATGGTTTTAGGGTATCACGAGACATATTTATAGTTCAGTTTCTCAAAAGATTAAGTATAAGGGCCTGCATTTTTAAACTATATATTCAACTTAATAAATATGCAACTTTTATTCCACTTATTTGACAGATAATTGCAGTGTTATGTTGAAAATGTGTTTTCTTGATGATAATACCAAAACAACAATTAGAAACTAGACCTAGCCATTTTAAAGAGGTGCAGATACTGCTTCCTGACATGGTTTTCAGAATAAAGATTTTTGCATAGTATTTTAAAATACATAGTATCTGAGACAATTTATCAGACTTTTAGAATTCCCATTCTAAAAATGATTAAATTTTTCATAAAATTGTATTTTTAAATGAAAGTTCTAAATGCTATATTTTACCTATAACAATCACATTTTCTAAGTGCAGATTTACTGAAGATATATTTTAATACTGTATTATGCTCTATAATTAATGACTAGTAATCAGTGAGAATAAATGATTTAGATTCATTCACCTTGTGGACCTCTTATGTGTTCCTTGCCATTCCCTGTAGTGTTCATTTGTGTTTTGTGTAGTACCATGTAATACTTTAAATAACTATGAAAATGATTTGCATGTAGGTGGGGATATATGTAGCTCTATGTTTCCAATTACCATTAGCTGGGATATGAAAGCCTCACTGAAGGCTGTGGTGGAGTGCGTGCTTTAGTGTGCTCCTGTCCTGGCTGAATTCTACATGGAGAAGGGGAGAACAGCAACTTGGGCTCAGGGGAAGCCATAGCATTTGGTAGCATGGTTAGTTTTCTCCAGCTGATTTCTGCAGGTAGAAGAGGCAATGAGGCGCTTCCTCATTCCTTGTGTTTCCTCTCAAGAATCTGAAATCTAGCATGTCTAAAAGGCTGCCACTGCTAAGTTAACGTCAAAGAAGTGAACCAACTCCTTCAAGTTGTCCTCTGACCTCCACACACATGTAGAGATGGATATACACAACACACTTTATTTTAAATTGAAAAAAAATTGACACTAATGTGGTGACACACACCTTTAATCCCAGGACTTGGAAGGTAAAGGCAGGCAGATCTCTGAGTTCAAGGCTAGCCTTGTCTATATAGTAAGTTCCAGACCATCCAAGGCTACATGAAAAGATCTCATCTCAAACCCCAGAAAAATGTAATAAGGTTACAACACTCATTATCAGTAATGAACTGAGGCATTTCTCTTGCCTCTGTCTTCTTTGCTTTCACCTTAAGGAAGAGAATTCATTCTGTGAATTCAGATCATACCTTCTAAACATAATTATTGTACCATCATTAAGAAATGCTGCTAGGGGTTAGAGCAATGGCTCAGCACTTAAGAGCACAAACTGTTTGAGAGCTCTGGAATTGAATCCCAGCACCCACATGGCTGCTCACAACCATCTGAACAATAGTTCTAGGAGCTCTGATGCCCTCTTCTGGCCTCTTTGAGCACTGCACACATGATACAGACATACATGCAGACAAAACATCTATACAGTAAAAATAAATGTTAAGAAGAGAGGGGGAAAGGGGACAGCTACCACCAACCACCGGGACTGAGAATAATGTGGCTTTACACTAGAGGCTTCCCTCCCTCCCTCTTTTCTTCAATAGGACTTCTCTGTGTAGCCCGTGCTGTCCTGGAACTTTGAACTCAAGAGAGCTGCCTGTCTCTGCCTCCCCAGCGCGGGGACCAAAGGTGTGCACCAACAATCCTGACAAGATGGATGCTTTTTGTACTTTAGATTTGTGATGGTTGTGATAAACAGCTACCATATGACTACTAGATACCATACCCATGTACTCTGCAAGACACAGCAAGTGCTCTTTAACTGTGGAACCATCTGTCCATCCCAGCCCCCAAAAGAGATACAGCCATACTTTACAAAATGGTAACTTCTGGCCTGGAGGTGTTAGTGCACGCCTTTAATCCCAGCAACCCTTGGGAGACAGGCAGGTGGATCTCTGAGCTCCCGGACAGCCAGGGCTGTCTCAACCAAAAAAATCATAAATAAAAATAAAAAAAGGTTAACTCTGGGCTAGAGAGGTGGCTTAGCAGACAGAGGTGTTCACCACGAAGCCTGATGAACTGATTCCAATTTCTGGGACCCATATGGCAGGACAGAACTGACTCTGACATACTGCCCTCTGACCTCCACATGCATTCAGTGCCCTGTGCAAACCACAAGCCTATCTATAATAGCTTTTTAAAGGTAACTTCAGCTGGAGAGTTTCCAAGTATATTACCAAGTATGGTACATTACCATACTTTACCATACATTACCAAGGATGGTATGAAGGCCTCAAGTTGTAAATTACCATCCAAAAATGGCCATGAATTGCTAAATTTGAGCACTGTATTATTTTTTAAAGATTGTTTACTGTGTATACAGTGTTCTGCCTACATGTATGCCTGCACACCAAAAGAGGGCATCAGACCTTATTATAGGTGGGGTTGTGAGCCACCATGTGGTTGGTTGCTGGGAATTAAACTCAGGACCTCTGGAAAACACTGAGCCTTCTCTTCATCCCTGGAGCACTATATTATCTTGTAAGTGAACATTACATTATCAAAGGTAGCTATGAGGTGTACTTAAGCAAGCTGTTGATTAATACAATAAAGTATTCCAGTATATGTGAAGCTGGATTCCACATACCTTTTTGCATGAGTATTTTTTAAAGCAAACCAAGTATATTCAAAATAACAAAGATGTGTACCATTTAATACGTAAAGTCACTACTAAAATTTGTTACATTTTTAAATAGCTCCAATTTCTCAGGAGAAAGTTTATAACTGTCATTCATTCATACAAAAGTAGTTTATTAAATATGAGAACATGAACATATCTAATGTTAATGAAAAAACTGTACATCTGTTATGTATACTATGGTAAATATGTATGCTTAATTTTTTCTCAGGTAATAAAAAATCACTTCTATTTTATGTTCATTCAAATTTGCATTTAATTTCTATTTACATTCATTCAATCTGAAATCAAATATCTTAATACAGTAAACTAAATACAAGATGAAAAGCAGAAAGGGTGTTGCCCTCATAGAATTCCTAATAAGGCAGCTGAAAAACTTATTTAATAATTGCAAAGCCAACTTGGGGTAGAAGAGAACACAGTTTAAATAGCAAACACTGTGAGGAACCCGTCTTTTCAATGCTCCTCCAGAGAATCCAGGGGAATAATACTTGTGCTGTGGTGTTGAGTCACATGAAACAAGTACTGTATTGATCAGCAACAGAACACAGGCCCTGTGTGACACATGTTATGACTGTTTTGTCCAGCTAGCTAATGTCTGCTCCACGACAAAACCATAGATGTTTGGATACTTTTGAGATAAGAACCATTTTTAAAGCCTCAAAATCCACTCTTCATAAATTCAACATTTCCCATGAGAATAATCTTAGATCTAGCCCTTGTAAGCTAGGAAATATACAACTAAGTGAATATTTTTAAAACAGTCCAGTATTAAATATATCCAAGGCTCAAGATATTAATGCAAAGATGTTTTGTTTATATTTGTTACCTATAGTACAGAATGTTGAATTTATGGAGTCTCACACATGCATCCTCCTCAACTCTCAAACTATCTATCTCAAAAACAGTATGGGGAAAAAAAATCCTTGAAGTTAAGATCATAAAAAGGGGAAGAAATAACACTTTTCCTAAAGGTCTGGTTCAAGTTCAATAATTAATACATTGTTAATCACAGCTGGTCTATAAATCCCAGTTTGGTTATTCTGAAACACTATAAACCATATAAAACAAATTTAGTAATCTTCAGTTCAGTGAGTACATATTAATTAAAAAAGAGCACGTAGAAAATAAAAAATATCCTATAATTGCTGATTTTAAAGAACATAATCAAGTAATGAAAGAAAAAGCACTTAATCATTTTCTATACACTTACCTGGTACAAGCATGAACACCTTTCTTAGAAACTCAAACTAGTATTGACATAGACTTTAAATTATGCTTCAGTTTTTACAAATAAATACATAGTAGGCCGTATTGCATAGGCATGTGCTTTCTGTCTGTGACACTCACGTGACACCTGACATGTTTTCACAGTCATAGTAGGGATATCCATTTATGAAACAGTTTTTCAATAAACTTGCCATAGCATGATAAATCAATTTCACTTAATAAATGTTGTGATAGAAAAGCTATATATCTGTGTAGATGGAAGGTGTACAGTTAATGCTTTCTATGCAAAAAAGTTGCAGTATTTGCCAGTATCGCTGGCAGACTAACATGAAACAGTTTAACTATGGGGTGGTCACAGTGCACATATCACTAGCAACTAGGACTGAGAAGGAATCTTTTGGTGTAAAAGTTTTACTGGAATTTGGCCAGGCAGTCAATGCTACAGTTAGTAAACACATTTGGAAACAGAGTAGCACAAGCCATTTGCAGTCTGAAATGATTCCTATATGCATCATCATAGGACTGGGGGGGGGGCTTCTATTTTTAAAGAGATCACAAACTAACAAAGAACTTTGCAATTTCTGCCCTTAATCATTACTGCAGCACTTAATAACCGATGCAATTATGAAATTCTCAAAAGGCTGCTGCAGTCAGAGAATCAGAGTAATCATTTAAATGATAAATTTCTCAGCCCAAGGATGGACTTTAATCAATTCTTTTACTTACTGCCACAACTGAAAGGCAGTATTTCCAATCATCTGTCACAGCTTTGTTAAGATTTTTATGTATATGTTTTGTCTGCATGTATGCTTACCAGAAGAGGGCCTCTGATCCCATGGGCCTGGAGTTATAGATATAAGCCACCATGTGGGCACTGGGAATTGAACTCAGGACCTCTAGAAGAGTAGCTAGTGTTCTTATCCACTGAGCCATCTCTCCAGCCCCTCAAGATTCTATTTTTGCTCATTGCTGAAATTTCCTTCCATCTTACTTCAACTGCAATTTAAATAAGCAAGGAAGGCCTGGGTCTCTCCTGACTAGTTGTGACATGCATAAGGAATTTTATGGCTTGGATCCTGTGAGGAACACAGCAAGAGCATCTGCGTACAGAAACCCTAGGGCTGCAACTATTACCAAGTGAGTTGCTCAGACTGAAGATATAAATGACCAGCACAGTGGAGTGACAAGACTCTGTGGCATCTGTCTAGACCAGCATGCGCTAAAGTGTACTTTATAAAGCTCTGCACATACTAAACCCTTTCACCAGCTAGTCATGGAAATGCTCCTTAAGGCAGAAGTATTTAAGACAGGTGAAGTTACCTTTATTTTTATTCTTTGTACCTGTAAATCGCTTATGTAGATTGATACTATTTCAAAAACAGTGTCTTTTTAACATGTTTCCTAAATTAAGCCACTGAGTTTTCTTATTCACTATGGAAGACATTCATCGAAAGGCCATCAAATATTTTTACAATTAAAAAATGTAGCCCCAGTATAGGAGGGGAAAAAAAAAAACCACCATTTTTTCTTTTTTAAACTCTCAAGGGAAAAAATATTAAGGAAGGTAAACAGCAAAAACAGTACAAAGTAAAACTGAAAACCTTACCAATATGCTGTGAAGGAGACAGAGGGTGGACAGGACAGCACCCTCTTCCCTGCAGATCTCTAGCTCCCCTGCTTACTGCCCTCATTAGCACTTTAGCTTCACTCTCTTCTGTCCTTGCAGCCCTGGGCTTGACTCAAATACTGGTGTAGGAACAGGTGGCACTATTTTTTTTTTCCAGTGTAATGCAGGCCCAGGACAAGGATGAAATGTAGCACATACAACTTCTGCCTGTCCCAAGGCTTGCGGTTAAGCCTAACACACAGCAGTGCTGCAAGGAGAAATGATTTAAGCAGACTTTCTTCCTCCTAGTATTACATACAGGTATTGCAGCTAGGTTACTAAAACAAAAAATAAAAAACACCCCACGTCCACCCCAAGCCCTCAAACGAGCCACAGCTGTGGTTAACAATGATTCATTTGCATTTTATTTCATCAAGAGAAGAAACAGAAGCTGGCTTTCTTCATACCAACCAATAATTTTGCAAGTTTGGGATGTTTTCCATAATGAGCTGAATCAAAAATCTATTTGAAAAATATATATTTATATAAAAAAAAGATTCAGGTTGTTTGCACGTAAAACATCAATCGATAAGTTTCTTTTGTCTTTAATTCCATGTTGCTGGAAAAAGTTTGACAAAGCTTGCATGCTAATCTGTCCTTAGTTGCAAGTACTACTATAGGCAATCTCGTTCTTTGCCTATGAGAGATAAACCCTTCTTTGAAATCATCAGACTTCAGCGGTGATTCAGAAGCAACATCCAACCCTTAATACTGTCAGTTTGGAGCCGTCAGCATGAAAACCCTTGCTAACGCTGAGATGTTGCTAGGATAGGAACCAGTCAATTGATGTGTCTGTGGATTCCACAATACTCTTTTGCTTAAGTTTTTTTTTTCTTTTTTGTGGGTTTATTTTTTGCACCATTGATTGATTTTTTTTTTTTTTTTAAATCCATGTTTATTTTTCCTCCATCCAAAGCCTTCTAGGTAGTGACGCTGGCTCTTTGAGACTGCCATTTTGATTCTTGTTTTTATCTTGTAGGATGCTCATGCATCCCCTCCCCCATTTGTTTCCTTTTTGTATTTGCATTAATAAGAGCATTATTTTGTCATAGGTTCATACGCAGGTGCTCTGGCCGTTTGGAGATCATAGGAAATGCTTGTTTTTTATATGGCCCGGAGTTCGGCTGTCGGATTGGAAGTGGCGCTGATGCTTCCCCGCTCATTGTCACATCCATCTGCTCTATTCCACTTGTTTCCATTGGGTATTCCACAGGTGTCTGAGAATTTGCCGTGCTGGCTGAAGCACCTCGTCCCCAGAAATCCCCAGGAGAGAATTTGACTGGGCTTTAAGACAAGGAAGAGCTATCATTCATTTGTCTCAAGGATCATCTTAATAAGAAATATTCCCCTCATGTTTATAGGGAAGGGCATGTAGCTTTCATTTTTCTAATTTTATTTTCATGTGGACTGTAACAAATGCAAAGGTTGAGCCATCTTTCCCCTAGACTAATGGTTAGTGTGTCCAAATTGGCCTCTTTACCTCTGCATTTGACCTCTAAAGCCCTTAATGACATATTAAGTCATTTTACTCTCATACATAAAAACAACTTCCCATTGCACTTAAAATACTTTCCCAAACTGCTGACCATTTTCCTCTTTTATCACATTCCAAGAACTCTTAACTTATTTCCAAGAAAAGGCATCTTTCCCTCCCCAGGGCCTTTTTGTACTGGCTGCTGTTTGCCTGCAATACTTTTGTAACTTCTTTTCTTTGCACAGTTAGCTTTCTCCTTATTCTTAGAAGTTACTTCACCAGACAGGCCATGCTGACCATAATTAGTGGAAGGCTCCTCATTTTTCTCTGTTTTCTAATACCACCTTTTTTTTTTTTAATGTGTGCACATGTGTGCAGGTACACTTGGCATAACTTGGTAGGACATAGATTTGTATGTATTTCTATCGGGAAGGAACAATTCTGTATTATATGTATTATGCATATAATATGCAGCATATAAAATGTTGGTAAATGCATAAAGAGCACTGGTTATGGGCAAACTATATATATATATATAAATAAAATGTATGAAAGGATATAGATGTTGTGCCTATATTAGGCAAAATATGACAGACCTTTTATTTTTTAACCTGCATGCATTTAAGCTATATTCTTCGAGGCTTAAAAAATAGTTTCTTCCGAGCACAAGGACCTGAGTTCAATACCCAGAACCCATGTAAGAAAATAAAGTAATTATTATGGCACATGGTTGTAACCCCAGCACCAAGGAGAAGACAAACAGGTTCCCTGGCTCTCCCTAGCCACCAGTCTAACATACTAGCCAAGTTCCAGGCCAGTGAGAGAGGTGGAGAGTACTTGGAGAGCAATACCCACGGCTGTCCTCAGTATGCACCTGCCCCTGTACACAGGAACACGCATATAAGCAAAAGACCAAAGAGAGGAAAGAGTCAAATACCTGACAGGCGTTCGTGGGCTACCAATAAATCTTCGAGGCGATCGGATTTTTGGTTCAAAGGAAAACTTTTCTTTTACACTTTCAAGTACAGATGGAGCCACATATGTAAAACCCTGAAAAACAGCAACAGTGTACTACAGGATGACATTTTGTCACACACATCAAGAAAATGGCTATTAAGGTTCTTTTTATAAAACTGTGTTTCTCAGTTTCTTAACTAGGCTATCACACAAGTAATTTAGACTCCATTATATTATTTTAACAAGTTTTACAGTATAATAACTGAGCAGTTACTACTCTACTCTTAACCCTCTAAGCTAATCACCTCCCAGGGTGCATCCCAGAGATACTTGCACTTCAGAGCTTTCCTGCCCAGCTCTTTTCTCCTGATGTCTCTGGATCCTCTCTATGGCTGAATCACCTTTCTCCTCTAACTCTTTCTCTCCTGCTGACAGGAAGTCCATCCCTATTCTCTCCCTGCTCAGTGACTGGCTGTAAGCTGCTTTATTAGCATACCAGGGGACAAATGGGGAACAGTATTTACACAACACTGACACAGGAGACTCAGAACAAGGATTGCAAACAGAAGGGGGAGATGTACAGAAATCAGCATTTGAATTACACAATAACCTTATGCCTACGAATGGCTTTTTAGTTTGACACACCAACACAATGATGTACAACTAAAATCACCAATGTGTATATTTTCTATATTCTTGATCTCACTTTTACACCTTGTTTTTTTTTTTTATAAAACAGGGTCCCTCTGTGTATCACTGGTTGACTAGGAAACTCACTCTGTAGACCAGGCTGGCCTCAAACTCATATAGATCTACTTACCTCTGTCACCCAAGTGCTGGGAGTAAAGGTGTGCAGCACCACACCTGCCTTTTTTATGCTTTTTAAAGCCTCCTACGCTAACAAAATTTTACCCCATTTCTAGGACTAGAGGAGAAAAAAAGACAGGAAAAATATAGCTTGCACATTCAGATGTTGACTGTAAAGGTGAACATAGACTGGTGCATTGTCAGCCACACAGTTTACACAGACACGTATGCACAGATATATATATGTATTTATGAGTCAGCCAGGTTAATACTCCAAATAGTTGCTCACAGCTAAGACAGAGTTAGAATTCTCTGACTGTGCAGCCTGGCTGGCCTGGAACTCACTGTGTAGGCCAGGCTGGCCAGGAACTCAGAGATGCGCCTGCCTCTGCCTCTGCCTCCCTGAGTGCTGGAATTAAAGGCGTGCACCAACACCATCTGGCCTCTTTTTAAGATTATTTTACTATTAATTTTGTATGTGCATGTCTGTGTGTAGGGATGTGCAAGCAGGCGCAGATGCCTTAAGGGATGAGGCATCAGATCCTTTGTGTATTACCTGCAGTTGTGAACCACCCAACAGCGGTGCTGGGAGCTAAACTCAGGCTTCTCTGCAGGGGGGCAACACACTACTAATCACCGAGCCACATATATATATACGAATGTGTGATCAAATGCCAACATCGTGAGAATTCCACTGTGCAGGGCAAAAACACTGCTGTATTAGTTTCGGTTCTGTCTTGAACCTTGGTATTTGGCTCCCGGCTCTCATTTCCTTGCTGCATGTTTGTTCAGCCAGTCCTATTGCCTACCTGCTTTCCCCACTCATTGTTAGCTAAATAAGCATTGTGCATCAAATATTAATAATTAACATTACAAATCCCCTGCAGAGTTGACAGCAACGTCTTTTTTTTTGGTCCTGGAACTCGCTTTGTAAGCCAAACATCATTTTAAGTCACTAACACTCAACCAAACATGAATCACTCTAAAGAATCAAGTACTCTTACTGAAATTTCTAAAATGGCTTGTAGGTAACAGTAAGTTATCAAGGAAATGACTTAAAAGCCAAGTCATCCAGGTTTTCCACATAAACTTCTCACTGCATCATACTTAAATTTTCTACAGCTACATGGAAATTCTTTCACTTACCAGAAAGACCTGGTTGGCACTTTCACTGAGAGTTGAGTCATCGGGGCTGTCAACAGGTGTCTGACGTGTAAACTTTGAATCAAACTGACTCACATCCTCTTCAGATTGCTTCATAAGAACAAAATGATTAGAAAATAGTGAACAGTTTATATTATGCCTATCAATCAAAAGTACTATAAGCCCTATACTTTCTGTATGGGGTTTGACTGTAATAAAATATCAAAATAATCTTAGCAGCCCACAGACAAGAAAAAATGCAGGTAGAAAGTGTCAATGGTCTGTTTACATCACTACTTTTTAAAAAAAGTTTCAATATCTATTTTATGTGTGTAGGTGTTTTGACTGCATGTATGTCCATGCACCATGTGTGTGTCTGGTACAAGAGGATGCTGGGTCCCTGCAGTTACAGATGGTTGTGAGCCACCATGTGGGTGCTGGCATGTCTCCAACCCCACAGCATCACCCTTTTATGTATGTGTGGTGCTTGAGTTCAAACCCAGGGCTTCACACTTGATAAGCAAATGCTCTACCAGTGAGCCAAAGCCTGCATCTTCAAGCTTTATATATGAATCAACATAAATTTCAGTATATAATTATCAACCTTAATAAAACTCTGGATATAATAAATTCCCCACTCAAAAATCTTTAGTATGTCTAGTCACTTAATAAATTCCTAGAGATAATGTACTCAGTAGCCACTGTATGTCTGGATAAATACAGAAGAAGAGTTCAAACAAAGCAGAGATAAGATGATGCAGTTAGCCACTCAGGATGTAGCTCAGCAGTAAAGCACTTGCCTGGGCATGTACAATGCCCTTGTGCAAACACCCCAGCACCAAACCTTCTCCAAGCCAGACAGCGTGCTGAAATTCTTCTTGTAGACTACTTCAACCCTTATGGTTTTAAAATAGCAATTTACTTTTTTTGGTGGTTTGTTTAAAGAATAGTCTGACTCATAGGTCAAATATCAGAAATAAATATCAATTTATGCTAGGGAAGGTGGTATGTCTGTAATCCCAGCACTTAGGAGATAGAGGCAAAATGACCAAGGCTACTCTTAGCTAAAGAGTAAGCTTAAGACTAGCGTATGAAGCTGGGTACAGTGGCACACACCAATAATCCCAGCACTCAGGAGGCAGGGGCAAGCAGATCTCTGTGAGTTTGAGGCCAGCCTGGTCTACAAAGCCAGTCCAGGACAGCCAAAACTACACAGAGAAACCCTATTTTGGGGGGAGGGGGGGACTATACTATATAAGATCCTGTTTCAAAATAAAACAAAACAGAAATAGCTGAGACTACATGCCTGTAATTCTAGAACTCAAATGGCAGAGACAAGAGGACCACCATGAGTTCCAGGCCAGCCAGGGCTATACAGTAAGACCTTGTCATTAAAAAAAAAAAAGGAAGAAGAAAGAAAAGAGGCAGACGGAGAGGGGGAGGAAGAAAAAGAAGGAAGAAGAAAAAAATGGAAAAATATTGCTAGATTGATTGAAATATTAGTATTTTTAAACATCTAAGTTCATAATAACACTAAAAAAATCACATAACTCATTATTCAATTTTGAAAGATACTAAGGAACTATCATTATTTTGAAGAATAGTGAAAAAAAAAACAAAGGAATTAAACATTTAGCCTACCTTCTTGGTGTCAACTATACCTTGGATAACCAAGTAACTGATAAGTCTGCTTAATGGAAAACTTCTGGCTAATATAGAATGAATAAATGAATGAGGTTATTGTGTAAACCCTGAATGGACTTGATAGTTTTTATGTTATTCCTTAATTTTTTATTCTATGTGTCTGTGTTCGCTTGCATGTATGTCTGTGTGCCACAAGCATGTCTGTCTGCAGAGGCCAGAAGAAGGCGTAGGATCCCCTAGAATTGGAGCTGTAGACAGCTGTGAGCCACCATGTTAGTGCTGAGAACTGACTCTAGGTCCTCTGAAAGAGCAGCAAGTGCTAGTTTTAACTGGAGCCATGTCTCCAGCTCCTGACCTTGATAATTCTTTCATGTAGAGAGCTGTCGTGTTCTGGCCCTTATGCTGTAGGGACTAGTAGTAGGGCCCTCCTGCATCATAACCAAAATACTTCTAGACTTTGATCCCAGGTTAAGAACAATTGACTTACAGGCATTCATTAACTAACAGCACTAAAAGAAATAAACTATACTGTAAGTAGGCCTCCTTGTCAAAGCATACAGCACCAACAGTTCCATCTGTAGCACAAGTTCCTTAATTTGGAAACAGATGAACATAGTAAATGACACAATGGGATAAAATTAACAAAATTAAAATGTAAGGAACTCAGAGATAGAAAAAATGGGTCAGCCATTAAGAGCTCTTGCTGTTCTTCCAAAAGACCTAGAGTAGATTCCTAGCATCCACATGGTGGCTCACAACCATTTGTAACTCAATTTTAGGAGATATGATACCTTCTTCTGACCTTCACAAGCATCAGGCACACATACACATCTACTTTCTATTATATATATTCGGTAAAATACCTATACATGGGACTGGTGAAATGGCTCAGAGGTTAAGAGTACTGGCTTCTCTTCCAAAGGTCCTGAGCTCAATTCCCAGCAACCACATGGTAGATCGCAACCATCTATAATGGGATCAGGTGCCCTCTTTTGGTGCACAGGTGCACATGCAGGCAGAATACTATATACATAATAAAATAAATAAATAAATAAAACCTCATACATATAAAAAAAATCTAAAACAAACAAACTAAAAGCCTCACTTTTTTTTTTTTTTTTTTTTAAATCTGAGGAATTCTACAGAATAGATGGACCAGTTTCTTCAACAAATCTCCAGAAGACATGAAAAGGGATATTTGTATATAGTAAGAAAGAGAGCAGGCTGGAGAGATGGCTCAGAGGTCAAGAACACTGGCTGTTCTTCCAAGGGTCCTGAGTTCAACTCCCAGCAACCACATGGTGGCTTATAACTATCTATAGTGAGATCTGGTATACAGGCACACATTGAGGCAGAACATTGTACAAATAATAAATATTAAAAAAGGGAGAGAACACCCTAACTATGTATAAACTATGATTTCTTACTAAGTATAGCAGATAAAACAAGCAAACAAACAAACAAACAAAAAATAACAGGGAAAAGGAAAATCAAAATAAACAACTGAAGAAATGGTCAACCTTATAACTGTGATGATGGCTTAGTGATTGCCTTTAGGATTAAACAAGATGACCTGATTATTTTGAAACTGAGACGTACTTACCTGAATTAATGATCCACCTTACAACTATGTATGCAGACAATTTTTTTTCTTTTTGGTTTTTCTAAACAGTTTTCTGTGTAGCCTTGGCTGTCCTGGACTTGCTTTGCAGACCTGGCTGGCCACGAACTCAGAGCAATCCACCTGCCTCTGCCTCCTGAGAGCTGGGATTAAAGGTGTGTGCCACCACGCCTGGTTTAGGAATATTTTCTGTGTACTATGTGCATGTCCTAGTGCCCATGAGGGTCAGAAGAAAGTGCTGGATCCCCCAAAAGTGGAGTTATGGATGACTAAGAGTTACCCTGTGGGTGCAGGGGATAGAACTTGGGTCCTCAGCAAGAACAAGCATTCTTAAGCACTGAGCCATCTCTCCAGCCCTGTGTACATTTCAAAGCAGGTCTGTGATTATACTCTGTGATCAAATAATAGACAGCCTCATATTCTCTTCCTTCACCTACATCCTAAGAAGTGGAGAAAGCGTATTTCCTCAAGTTCTGAGGTAAAAGACAGAAGCTAAATAAACACTCAACCCCCAGTTCCTCCAAGTGATCTTACTTGGAAAAGGTCACTGCAGATGTCATTAATAAAGACACTGTCATCCAGGAGTACACCACTACCCCTGATTTCTCTAAGATTTTCCTTAGTTTAAAAAATTACCAGCCTGCTGTGTAGGCCTTTAATTCCAGCACTTAGGGGGGCAGAGGCAGGAGGATCTGTGTGAATTCAAGGCCAGCCTGGTCTACAAAGCAAGTCCAGAACAGCCAAGGCCACACAGAAAAACCCTGTCTTGAAAAACAAAAACAAAACAAAAAACATACCAGGAGATGTCAAGTGTAGAGCACTTGCCTGGTATGTGTGAGGTCCCAGGTTCAATCCCCAGTACTGAAAAACAATTGTTACAGATTCCCCATATTACATGTTTCCACACATACATACCAACAGAGGTTTAAAGGGAGGCTCCACCTTCCGAGCCAGAAGTTCTTCCCAGTTAATGTGTCTGAAAAATGGATGAGCCTAGAAAAAGTCAAGGAGGATGACTGATGGTAAACCATCTTTCTGAATGTATAAATCACAGAAGAAGTTAAACATATATGAATGTCCATGTATAACCATCACAAATAAGCAGAATCAGCATTGTGTCCCGTCCCCCGCCCCAAACACCAAACATTTCAGTTCCTACTTGGACTTCTCCAGCATCCCCAGGGCCAGCTCCAAGACGAGAAGCAGCGTTTCTTTTCAGCAGCTTTAGGGAGGAAAAGAAGCACCAATGAAAATCTGCAATTAATCAAACTGACTTTTTCCTTTACAGAATGTGGTCCCTATTTGTGCTCGACATATAATTTACTAATATCAAATACTATTTGAGAACAAAAGAAAGTCTTTTAAATATGTACTCTGCTTTAAAAAAAATTAAGTCTTTTTGTTTAGTATCTATGTATGACTATAATCAAAATATATGTAAAATTCTTAGATGGAGAGGTGCAGATGATGCCCCACCTTTACTGGCAGTTGATAGCTGCTGGGGAAAGACAGTCATGGCCACTGGTACACGGCCATGTGGCCAACTCCACATCCATAGTTACAGAGGCAACACTAACTGGACTGTGTAGGTTAGTAAACAAGGAAAGTACAAAGTTGAAAGAGGTAGGTGTTGGGGACATTAGAAAGTTGAAGCAAAAGAGTGAGGATGAAACTATATACACACATAAAGTTCTCAAAGATTAAATAACACAATCTGGGTGTAGGATTCAAGGTGAAGAAACAGGCAGATCTCTATGAGTTTGAGTCCAGACTGGTCTACAAAGTGAGACATAGTGAGTCCCAAAAACCAAAACGAAACAAAAGCTCAAACAAAGCACAGATGCACGTGTGTATTTGTGCATGTGTTCGCGCACCCAATTTTATCTCATCAAGCCTTGCTGGTGAGTGTGGTATCTAAGAGCCTACCTTTTTAAGCAGATCTCGAGCTTCTTGCGTGAGGTAGGGAGGCAAATTCAGTTTACATTTGAGGATTTTGTCAATTGTTTTCTTTCTATTCTCCCCAGTGAATGGAGGCTAAGGGTAGAAAAGAGCAAAAAATTAGCATATAAAACCGAACTTTAAGTAATAATATTATCTAGTTCCTGAATTGTATGGTTAAACATTGAGTTAAGAAAGCATGTTTGAAAGCTAAAGGATCTGAGCTCAGGGGGTCCTGCAGAGACTGACACAGCATGTATGGAGAGGACCTAGACCTCCTGCTCAGATGTGGCCAATTGGCAGCTCAGTCTCTAGGTAGGTTCTCAAGTAAGGAGAGCGGGGGCTGCCTCTGTCATAAACTTGATTGACAGCTCTTTGATCACTTGCCCCTGGCCATGTGGCCTTGCCAGGCCATGGAGAAAGAGGATCCAAGGCAGTCCTGATGGGACTTGATAAGCTAGGGGCAGATGGCAGAGGAGTAGAACTCCTCCTTTCAGTGGACTAGGGGAAGGGGATGGGGGGAAGAGGGAGGGAGTTGAGGGAGGGGAGCTTCAATTGGGATATATAATGAATAAACTGTGGAAAAAAAATGAAAAAAAAGAAAAGAAAAGAAAAGAAAGCATGTATGGAAATAGTTAACTCAGAGACCTGTGCCCTTAGCAATGACACCTCAAGAACACCACCCTGGAAATCTTGTGTGGTAAGGCATCTCATTTTATGTTCCTATTTCTCCCTCTGCAGTTCATTAGACTGCCATGACAGAGGTCAGTCCAAATTGTTTTGGTTTTTTTGATATGTGCACACATGGTGAATGTGGGTCTGTGCACAGGATGTGGGTGCCCATGAAGAGCAGTGACATCAGATCTCTAGGAACTAGTTACAACAGACTGTAAGCCACCTGACTCGATGCTGGGAACTGAACTAGGGCAGAGTTTTTCCGTTGACCACGGAGCTATCTCTCCAGCCCCTACAGAAGTCATTTAAATAAAAATATTTTTTAAGTATGGAATCCCACAAAATCATAAGCTACCACTAATGCTAAACTACCAATAACAAATGTTTCACTAGGCACATGTTCTGAAAGCACAGTAAGATTCTTTTACTTAATGGCTTGATAACTGTTCAGCACAGAGCATAACACATGCAGCTTTAACGTGCACCTACTGCTCCAGTCAGCATGTCGTACATTAATGCTCCCAAACTCCACCAATCCACAGCACGATTGTGGCCACTTCTCATCAAGATTTCAGGGGCCCTACAATGAGAAAAACAGCATACCTTAATATTTGCCCACTTTCATAGCATCTGAATAAAATTATTAAACTAAGAAAACTAAGACTATTTTAAGCCAGGTAAAAGTTAGATATTACCCCCAAACCAGTTACATTTCTTTTAACATGCAGCTCTCACATGTATTCTATTGTGCCACAAAATGTGTGCGTGACTGTTCCATCATGAATTGATTCTTTGCACAGTCCAAAGTCTGTTAGTTTCACGTGACCTACAATGAAAGATTATAGTATGATTATTCTGAGAATTTCAAGTATATGCAGTATTTGACTTTAACTTTTCCTTTCTAAAACTTTTCTTGAAGATGCCAAGAACTAAATGCCATATCTACTATGGGGTAATAACTACTTAAAGGCAGGGCCGTGCCAGTGATACAATCAATGCAATAAGGAGAAAGTACAGAGAATAATGAAACTGTCTAAAGCTCTGGCTTTACCTATATGCAGAATTCTGTTCCACTCTTTGAAAATCTGGATTAAGTAATATATACCCTTAGTAAACATTCTGTATTTAAACAAAATTCATAGCACACTTCAACTGTATTGTTTCTTCACAGTGTATTTAAAGAGTTCCTACAAACTCTTAAAAAAAAAAAAAGGCACTATATAGCTTACATGCCAAATGCTACCAGTTGGCAGAAAGAAATTAAATTATTTACTGCCAAAAGCTGCCAGTGAAGGGAAAGAACTAGAATTTTCGTAGGATAATCATTTCTGTTCCAGAAGGTAGAATTCCACCTTGCACAAAGATCATGTCAGATAAGTTTCTCTTAGCTGTCATTAGTTAATCAGTGGCTCAACAACAGCAAGGGCCCTATCATTGAAGGGTTCCTTTCAGGCAAAAGGCAGTGGCTCATTTATTTACATTTATTCACTGTGAACATCTACTGCACGCTGACAAAGGAAGAAACGGAGCTATAATATTTATCTTTTATTTTCTCATTTTTAAGAAAGTTATTTCATGTGCATGAGTAATTTTGCCTGCATGTACATAAATGCGTATGTGTGCCTAGTGCCAAAGTAAGCTGTAAGACGGCTCAGGAACCCTGAAACTGGAATTATCAATGGTTGTGAACCACTATATCGTGCTGTGAACCCAGGTCTACTGCCAAGCAACACATGCTCTTAACCACTGAGCTATCTCTCCAGCCCCTCAGAGCCCTTCTGAAGACAGGATCTGGCTAGGAGACAGGACCTGGCCTGGAATTCAATTACCTACTCAGGCTTCCCTTGAATTAGATTCTCTTTACTTAGACTCTGCAGTTCTAGAATTATACGTGTGTGCCACTATACCCAGCCATAGCTTTTAGTCTCATAGAATCAAATGATATATCCAAGTTTATGGATTAAAAAGTTGTTTTATGGGGCTGAATAAATGGCTCAATAGTTACAAGCTCCATCTACTCTTCTGGAGGTCCTGAGTTCAATTCCCGGCAACCACATGGTGGCTCACAAACTATAATATGATTTGATACTCTCTTCTGGCATGTAGGTTGTACATGCAAGTATAGAAAATAATAATTTTTTTTAGAAGTTTTTTACTATTCCACCATTTTTGGGGTTTTTTTGTTTTGATTCCCCCCCCCCCCCAAACAGAGTTTCTGTGTGTAGTCCTGGCTGTCCTGGAACTCATTCTGTAGACCAGGCTGGCCTGGAACTCATAGAGATCCACCTGCCTCTGCTTCCCAAGTGCTGGGACTTAAGGTGTGCCACCATTCTCTTGTTCTATCCTTTGCTTCAGAACTGATAATCAGGTGGTAGCATTCACAAAGAACAGAGAACAGAAAAAAAACAAAAACAACAAAACCTTTAAAGGAATACCTCAAAATAAACAGCAAAGACTTCAGAATCAGAATTCAGGTTTGGGATGGGAAGGGAGGAATGCTGACATAGTTCCCACTATGCACTTTGTCAATTCTATATTGTTTTTTTTCTTTATTTTCATATGTATGAGGGTTTTACCTACATGTATATATGTACACTATGTGTGTGCCTGATGCCAGCAAAACCCAGTTCTAGATCCCTTGGAACTAAAGTTACAAATGTTGCAACCACCATGTGAGTACTGGGAACTAAACCCAGGTCCTCTGCATGAGCAGCAAATGTATTTAAAAAACAAAAAACAAAAAAACAAAAAACAAACAAACAAAAAACACTGAGCCACCTCTCTAGACCCTCACAATTAAAAAAAAAAAAAAAAAAGAAGCACCATTTTTATATAGACCTCACCATTTTCTGTCCAAAAGTTTACAGTGGTTAACTATCTCAGACATCATCCTACAGAGACCTAATGTTCAGCAACTGCTCACAGCCTTGTATGGATGGTCTAGTATAGCAGCAGACATGGAGCTGTAGCAAACACTTGCTTTGCCACACCCACTGTTACACAGAATGTTTTGTCTCTCTAATTAATCTACGCCTATTAAATATTTTGGTACTGGGGATATATAAAATAATGCCTCAATTTCAGTCTTTTTCTTCAAACATTAATTAAAATTTATTACAAAGTTTTGCTTTTAGTTGCATGGTTGTGGTGTACACGTGTAATCAATCCTGATACTTGGGAGACTGAGGCAGGATGACCCTAAGCTCAGTGCCAGCTGATTACACAAAAAGACCATGTCTAAGAAAACAAAAATAAAACAAATAAGTTTTGCTTCTACTATTTATGCATTTTTTGGTCATTAAAACTCAATGGCATAAATCAAAATTCACATCTGAATTGGCTGTGCAGTCACAACATTTTGTATAAGATTTTTTTTAAGCTGTAAAGAATGGCTCGTATCTGCAGCTCTATTTAAGCTCAATCATAAATACTAAATACTTCAAGTACTAGAAAGGGAAGTATATAACAAGAGCGAGATAAACACGGGAGCCTTGGAAACGGCCATCATGTGTGGCAGGACTGTACACTGACTATGTACTACAGAATTGTTCATGACATATCTCCACCTTGGTGATTTAGCATGATGTTCTCCGGCTTCAGGTCTCTGTAGATGATCCCCTTTTGATGTAAATGCCCCAAAGCCATGGAGATTTCAGCCAAGTAAAAGCTGGAAACAAAAGTGATTTAATAATAATTTAAAAAGAAATCTACCCAAAGCAGTTTATGTATGGAACAAAATTCCTTGAAAGAAACATACATGCACCAAAGACCAAATTAGTGGGGGTGGGGTGGGGTGGAAGAATGTACTGGGAAAAAGAGATGGCACAGGATGATGCCATAATACAGGGGGACTCGTTTTAGTCAAACTATACCATGTTTTATTTTCCATTAGAAAATACTGCTAAAAGTGCAAAGATATCCAGTCTATTCTAGCTATTATTGATTAGATTCTATTCTCTCTGTTTAGGAATTAAGCCAACAGTCATTCAGATCAAACATTCCTCCCACCTTCCCCCAACATTTGAGATTCCACAGGAAATAAGGACTATTATTCTCAGAGATTAAGTCTTGGTCTTTATGGCCTGACCCGTGGAAGCCCACTCATCCTTTATAACAGAACTGTGTATTAACAGACAGCAATACCCACAGTATCTGCCCACCCTCTTGCCAGCCAGCCCCAACTATAAACTGTGTGACACTCAAATTTATCTACCTCAAAAGAATAAAGGGCTGGATCAACCCTGTCTGGATTCGAAAAGCACAAAGCACTGCAATACTGGCTGTATAACAATGTTGCAATCCTGCAGATTACTCCAGGATGGAGAGGGTGTGTCCTAGAGGACTGAGGCAGTTTCACAGCCAGCAGGACCACAGCCTCCAACATGGCTCAGAGAGCCTCCTCCAAAAAAGGGCACTTCATCCCTAAGGCTCTTAAATGCAGCTTCTGTGTTAGAAAAGGCCTGAAATTAAACAATGGAATGCAGTTTGGTAATTAAGATAGAAAAAACATTTTAGTGTTTTCTATTCAATTAATGTGTATGTCAAACTGATTTACTGTTACCCAATACAGTCACTTCACAAAAGGATGTGTATATTTTTTATTTGAAGCAGATGCCGTCTTACGAATAGGAGGGCAGATCCCATCCTGGCTATAAAATCAATCCACAGATGTATGTTCAGGCTTATCACCTCCCTAAGACTGCACCTTGGGAACTGGAAAGTCTAAAAAAAAGAGGAGATGATTTCTGATACTTTCCATTGCTCCACATACAAAATTTCCCTGGAAAACCACACTCACCCACAACCAAGGCAGGCAGCTTACCAATTCAAGGAAATTCTGCAGTGAAGATCCATCCACCCAAGGCCTGGGGGCAAAGGAATCATGTGACCTCCAACAGCTGCCCAGTCCCAAGTTCCCCCTTGACATTCTAAGTAACTGTTTCCAGATCACTTTACTGAATCATGTGGCTGCCCACAGTGGGAGTGTAGTTTTGCTTTTAATTACATCAGTCATTACCTGAATCCACACAACCACAAAAACTTCACTTACCAAGCTGTGTCTTCCATGAATATTCCTTCTCTTTCTAACTGCATAAATAGTTCTCCTCCTACAAAGGAAAAGTTATTAGGAATAAATATCTTTACTTGCAATCCTCTTCTAATGAGTTTGTACTTTCTTCTATCTATAAGACTGAGTTCTTAAAAAAACAAAACAAACAAAAACTCCTAAAAACTGAGGTTTTGAAGTCTCCAGGAAGCTATTTTTAGCAGTATTCTTATTCTACAAAACATCTAAGTTTAAGAACTAAAATTGGCTTGGAATTACAGTTTTAATACCTTCAAATTTCAAAATATATACAGATTTCAGGCCTGGAGTTTAAGTCTTGATTAAAAATAGTACACAATGAAGTCACCCAAATTTTAGTGAAAATGACATTCCTATTTTTCAGAACTCTTATATAAACTGAATGAAATTGAGAGTTGCATAATTTGAGTATCAAAGTAAATATTGATAAAGGATTATATTGTTCTGAATAATTGTTTTTTTGCTATTTATTTTTATTATTTATACAGTATTCTGCCTGCAGGCATGCCTGTAGGCCAGAAGTGGGCACCAGATCTCATAGATAGTTATGAGCCACCATATCTGGTGATTGCTGGGAATTGAACTCAGAACCTCTGGAAGAGCAGCCAGTGCTCTTAACCTCTGAGCCATCTCTCCAGCCCTGTTTTGAGTAATCTTAAAATCCAGGCACCCATTATGATGTAAAAAAATTAACAGACAAAGTTATTCCATAAATAAAGGAAAGCTCTGTATTGCAGCAGAATGCCAAGTACAATAATAAATGGAAGTGGCGGGATGGAGTAAGAAAACACCAGGGTTAAAAGTCAAGAACCAATGGATGCCAAAACTGGACCTGAAAGCCTGATGAGATAAGATACTGAGGTAATCCCAAAGTATCTCCTCAAGAGACACTTGATAATTCAAAAGGAGAAAAACACCATTCAAAAGGAGAAAAGGGCAGACACCATGTGACCAAAATGAATATCAACATCAGTGGGACAAAGATTTAAATGTCATGCATTTCTGTTCTGAACTGCTGAGAAGGAACACAATGTTACTTGACAGTTCTGTCAAAAATGTATAACCTGAATCTATTCCTAAAGAAACATCAGATAAACCCAAAGTGATGGCTTTCCACAGAAACTAGACTATAGTTTTATTAAAAAATATCAATATGATAGACAAAGCCAGACTAAGGAACTGTTCCAAATTAAAGAAAACTAAGAGATCTTAGTATATTAATGTTAATTTCCTAATTACTTTATAGCTCTAGTTACATAAGAAAATGTCCTTGAATTTAGAAAGTAAATGCTAGAGTTTTGGTTATAAAAATCTTGAACAGCACAAAAATGTTGACTGTATCTGGGTGCGTATGTATGTACACACATGCATACGCGAGAAGGGGGAGATAGCACATGATGGGTCGTGAAGGGTCTGGTGAAGGCACACAGGAGCTCCACACTATCTGGAGGATCTACATGAGGACTCTTGTACTACCCATAAATCTGTATCAATCTGAAATTACAACGTAAAGTTACAAAATAAGTAGCATTAACAAAAAGTGTGAAATTCTGCAACTTTCAGGTCCATGATAAGACCTATTATGAAACCCATTTCTTGGAAATCATAGGTATGCCAGGCCTGGTGGCACATGTCAGCGCTCAGGCCACTCTCTGAGTTTGAAGCCAGCCTGGTCTATATAGTGGGTTCCAGGACAGCCAGAGCTATATAAAGAAATCCTGTCTCAAAAAAAAAGAAAAAAAGAAAGAAAAGAAAAAGAAAAAGCCACTTTTATTTGTGTATCTTCTATGGGAATCACAACCTTGTACCAATACACAGGAGGCGAAAGCAGGACTGCAACACAGGCTACACGGTGAGCTCCAGGCCAGCCTGTTTACAGAGGCCCTGTCTCAAAACCAACCAACCAAACAAACGGAGGAATGAATGAAATAAAACAAATAAAAGGGCATGGGGGGATGGTACATTCCAAGAGGGAGCAGGTCCTTGAAAATGTGGTTAAAAGATATAGTTAAAAAACATTCAGTAATTTATAATATTCTCAATAAACTTCCACATTTCAAGTTAGAAAGGAATATTTAATGGGACATGTGAATTAAGCTATTCCAGCTTACTGTGTTAAATACTTGATTACAAAGAGATTTAAATAAAATTTTACAGACAGGAAAACCTTCCAAGTTTCTTTCATATTTGTCTGTAAATAGAACCATTTGTTCACATGTGAATTTCCTTCTTTAACTGTATTCATCAATTTTAAGGATTGTTCACAATGAGGAAAAGCATTTTTTACTGGAAAGTAATGTATGAACCCAGTTTTTGGAGCAAATGTAAATAATTACATGAACTATGTACTAACCACTGAGATACTCAAGGATGAGGTAGAGTTTTCCACCGGTCTGAAAGGCATAAATTAAATCCACAATGAAGGGATGCTTTACTTCCTCCAGAATATTCCGCTCTGCTTTTGTATGAGCTGTATCTTTAGCATTTCTTACTATCATTGCCTAAAGGAAAAGAGATGATCTATAAGAACAAAATAGTGAACATTTTTATCCTACAGTAACTAGAAAAATCTATTTTATGCTTTTTAAGACTAATACAGAATAGTTCCTACTAGAAACTGAGATGGGTAATGGAAGCTACTCACTGCTTATAAGTATCTAAACTTGCCAGAGTTTTGTAGTAAACATGTAAATGATGTAAACAGATCAAGTTAATCATATATGCACTAACAGTTGAGGCCTTAGTGTGCTCCCGACTGTAGGCAAAGAGAGCAGAACTAATATAAGGAATCCTGTCCTTGGGGCCCAGAGTATCAGGAGAAAAGATGTCAATGGAGGCAGAACAGAACACTTGGACAAGCACAAGAACTGCACTCAACCTGGCAAGAAGCCTTCCTGGAGATGAGGAGAGCAAAACTGTAAAGTCAAGGTGAAATGTGGAAGGTTAAAAAAGTATTCCCAATGAAGAGAGTTATGACAAAATGGGATGTGTCCAGGGAAGCCACAAGGTCAGCATGCTAATGAGCGGTTAGATTCAGCTGGAGGAGGAGACACAGGCCAGGAAACAGAAGGCTGTGCCTCCAGGCAAAGGTACTGAAAGCTCAGAGGCAAAGAAGAAATACTGAGATGAGTGTAACGAACCCTCAGCTTTAGTGGAATTGTGGGGTTTAGGGAAGAAATGATACAAAGCAGGTGGCCAGTACAAGAAACTAAGGAAAGCGCCTTACAACTAAGACAATGAAGATAAGAAACAAAAATTAGAAAGCTAAAGGTTTATCATTTGTAGCCTAATTAGATATAAGAATCAATGAAAGATAGGTGTAAAGGCACATTCCTATAATTTCAGTACTTAGAAGAGACAGAGGCAGGAAGATCAGGAGTTCAGGGCCAGTTATAGTTATTAATAAGTTTGAGGCCAGCCTAAATTTACTAACAATACTAACATCAACAACAACAATAAGAGCGTTTTGGAGAAAATTATGTAGTTTTGTACACACCAAACATAAATTCTAGAAAATTACTTCAGTGATTAAACCCCCAGTATGAGACAAAAACACACATTATTAGTTTTGTAGACACTTTTATGTATACAAGACTGAAAACACTAAAAACAAACTTAATGGCTATATGTAGGATATTGGCTGATAGCCTATAGAATCCACATATGCACAGCCATAAATAGAGTAAGAAGCATTTCTATGAAGGTGAAGTAAAAAAAAAAAAAAAAAAAACCCAAACAAAACACAACAACAACAAAAACATATAAAGTACTGTGTCATTTACCATACCTAATGTACATTCTACATTTGTGAAAGAATGAGGAAGTACAAAAACAAACTGGCATGATGGCGAAAGCCTCCAATTCCAGTACTTGAAGACAGAGGCAGGAGAACCATTAGGTTTGAGGTCGGCCTATGCTGAGCCAGCCAGAACAACACCATAAGACCCTAACTCATGAAATCCAAGCAAACATATATCTGTTTCTATCTATAAAATTAAACACAACTCAGAAAGGCTCAAAGCTAACAGCAAAGAGTGGTAAGAGAAAGACTTTTAAGTATATTTTCTGAGCAAAATCTCAATGGTTTGCCATCCATCATCTTTAGTTATCACAATTATAGTAATTTTGATTTCTGAATGTTAATAATTTTATGCATTCCAAGAATAAAATGAACTGTAAAATAAAAGTAAGCACTATAGAAATACACAAACTTGGCCAGGTGTGGTGGCACAGGCCTTTAATCACAGCAGAAGCAGGTGAATTTCTGAGAGTTCAAGGCTAGCCTGTTTTTCATAATTAGCTCCAGGACAGCCAGGATTATATAAAGGCAAACAAACAAAAACCCCTACAAATTAAATTTAACAGAATGCTCTGTTAATGATTTTACCACGGAAGCAGAAGGAAAGTAAGTGTAAACTGCATGCTCTTGGGCTGAGGATGTGGTTTGGCTGGTGGTGTTCTTGTCTTGCATGCATGAAGCCCTGGGTTCAATCCCCAGCACCACACACAGGGAGTGGTGGTACAAGCCATAATCCCAGCATGCAATAAATTGAGGCAGGAGGATCCCAGAACTTGAGCCCAGTCCGAGTGACAGTGAGTTCTAGGCAACCCTAAGCAACAAGCAGAAGATGCTATTTTTAAACCAAAACAAAACAAAACAAATTAATTGAAAAAACAAAACAAAATTTTCATTAGCAGTATTTGAAACCACAATGAATTATAACAGAAATAAGTAACACAGAGAAAAACAAATCTAAAGTGGTTCTTTTCTGTCTGAGGGCTTTTGAGACAGGATCTCACTCTGAAGACCAAGAGGGGCTTATACTGTTTCAGTACTCTGAAGTGTTGGGTTATAGGCATGAACCACCATGCCCAGCTCGTACAGGGTTTCTCTGTGTAGCCATGGCTATCCTGTAATCACTCTGTACATCAGGCTGGCCTCAAACTCAAAGATCCACCTGCCTCTGTCTCCCGAGTGCTGGGATTAAAGGCATGTGCTACCATGCCCAGCTTCCATATTGATTCTGTAGTTAACTCTTTTTTTTCCTCATTGCCCGAGTGATCTTGAATTCCCGAGCCTAAGTGGTCTTCCTGCCCCAGTCAGCTTGTAAGACACTGCCCCTGGTACCAATTCAATTTTTTGTTTTTCTATACTTTTCTTTGAATTTGGTGTCATGTATTCCATGCTGATCTCAAACTCACTCTATATGTAGACAAGATTGACTCTACACTTCTGACCCTCTTCTCTGCATCTCGAAAGCTAAGTTACAGGCATGCATGTGCCCCAACAAAGTATATAGTTTCTGGATCAAATCCAGGGCTTTGTGCATGCTAGATAAGCATTTTATCAACTGAGCCACAGGTCCAACCCTTTCTGGGATTGAGAAATGGTTTTACTCAACAGCCCAGGCTAGCTTCAACTTACAATACATTAGTTCCTAAATGCTGTGATTATAGGTATGTGCCACTATGCCCAACTTCTGGCTTTGGTTCTTTAAAAAGAAAATACATTATTATTCTTTCTTTCTTTCTTTCTTTCCTTCCTTCCTTCCTTCCTTCCTTTTCTTTCTTAGAAAAATTTCTTGCCACACATGGTGGTGCACACCTTTAAACCCCAGAACTTGGGAGGCAGAGGTAGGGGAATCTCTGCAAATTCAAAGCCAGCAGGGTCTACACAATTGAGCACCAGGACAACCAGGAGTACATAGAGACCCTGTCTCAATAAACAAAACTTTTCTTAATTTTAACTGTGTGCATATGTGGAGGAGGGTGGTATGTGCAGATGTCCTCCGAGGCCAGGAGCATCAGATTAGAGTTGGAATTGCAGGTGCTTGTGATCCAAACAACAGATCTGGACTCTTCAAAGATAGTTAATTCCATAAAAGACAATTTTTTTTTTTTTTTTTAAGAATAAGGAATGGCTCTACAGTGAACTAAAGACACAAGACCATTTACAGTGGTGCATGCCTGCAATCCCAGCACTCAACAAGTAGAAATAGAAGGACAGTGAGTTCAGGGTTATCCTCCGTTACACAGTGAGTTAGAGGCTAGCTTGGACTACTGGAGACTCTGTTTTCTAAAAAAAGAACAACTGGGAAAGTTTGAACATAGACTATAATTTAAGAAACAGTATTGAACAATTAATGTTAACATTTCAAAGTACAATAATTATACAACAGTTATACTGGCGTATAAAAACACCTGTAATTATAAACACAATTTAGGGGTATTACAGTGTCTATAAGTAACTCTCAAATAACACAGCAAAAGCTGAAATTAAAAATCTGAATGGAAGGTGGGTACGATGGCAGACGCCTGTAATCCCAGCACTCAGGTAGGCAGAGGCAGGTGAATCTTTGTGAGTCTGAGGCCAGCCTGGACTACAAAGGGAGTCCAGGACAGCCAGAGAAACACAGAGAAGCTGCACAGAGAAACCCTGTCTCGAAACACCAAAATAAGTGATAAGACAGACAGACAGACAGATATTTTTGGAAAATTGAATAGATAGGGGCTAGAGAAATGCTCAGCAGAAAACCCAGGGTCAGTAAGTAGCACCCACAAGGCAGCCCATAAAGAAACCTCTGAAACTCCAGTTCCAGGGTCTCTGATGACTTCTGGCCTCTGTAGGCAGTGCACACACAAGGTGCACAGACATATATCCAAGTAAAACACCCATACACATAAAACAAACAAATCACTTTAAAATAAAAGTTAAAAATAGACCAACTCAGGCAGGTATGGTGGTGCACACTTGTAATCCCAGCACTCAGGGAGGCAGAGGCAAGTGGATCTCTGTGAGTTTGAGGCCAGACTGGTCTAGAAAGGGAGTCCAGGACAGCCAAGCCTACACAGAGAAACACTTTCTCAAAAAAACCAACCAACTATCCAAATAACAAACAAACAAAAATTAAAACTGTGGTGCAAACCTTTAATTCATGCCTTTAATAAATCAGGAGGCAGAGGCAAGTGGATTTCTGTTCTAGGCTACCCAGGGTTACAAAAAGAGACCTCATATCAAACTAACAACAACAACAAAAAGATTAAAACTAGTAATAAAAGTTAAAGCAAGACACACTATTATAAAATTTTGAAACAAAAACATTAGAAATAAAAAAGAGCTAGGGGCTAGAGAGATGGCTCAGAGGTTAAGAGCACTGGCTGCTCCTCCAATAGGTCCTGAGTTCAATTTCCAGCAACTACATGGTGGCTCGTAACTATTTATAGTGAGATCTAGTGCCCTCTTCTGGCATGCAGGCAGAATACTGTAAACATACATACATACATACATACATAAATCTTGAAAAAAACAAACAAAAAAACAGAAAAGAAAAGAAAAAAGAGCCGGATAGGTGGCAATCAAGAACAGTTATTTCTTTACCAGAGGACCCAGGTTTGATTCCCAGTACCCTCATGGTAGATCACAAACTCTTATACTAGGTCCAGGGTATCTGATAGTATCTTCTGCATGCCTTGTACCTACAGCATAAAGGAGGCTGAGACAGGAAGGAAGACTGGAAGGTTGAGGCCAGGCTAGGTTACATATACATAGCAAGACTCTGGCTCAAAAATACAATATAAAAACTATAAATCTGTAAGGCACACACCTTTAACTCCAGAACTCTGGAAGCAGCAGGCAACTTTGTGAGTTTGAGGCCAGCCTGGCTCCGTCTCAAAAAAAAAAAAAAAAAAAGGCCAGGTGGTGATGGTACAGGCCTATAATCCCAGTACTTAGGAGGCAAAGGCAGGAGGATCTCTGTGAGTTCAAGACCAGCCTTGTCTACAAAGAGAGTTCCACGACAGCCAGGATTGTTACACAGAGAAATCCTGACTCAAAAAAATGAAAATAAAAAAAGACAATGAAAGGCTGTGGGTATGACTCAGTAGCACAGTGCTCACCTAACACAGGAAAACATGAGAATCATAGCTGGGGACAATGTTCAGTCGGTAAAATCTTTGCCTTACAAGTACGAGGACCTGAGCTGGACTCCCAGAGAACCCATGTAAACACCAGATATGGAAATGCATGTCTATTATCCCAGGGCTTTTACAGCAACGATGGGAAGCAGAAGACAGGAAACGCTCAGAAGTTGAGTGGATCAGCTAGTCTGCTGTATACAGTGGAAAACAACACAAGATCTTGCCTCAAACAAGGTGAAAAGTGAGGCCCAACACCCATCTTCCTCTGACCTCCATATGCACACAATGGGACATGAACACCTATAGTCACACAAAGATTGAAAAATAAAAAAATTAAATTTAAAATATGAATCAAGCTTGTTCTAACGACATTAGTGCAGTACTAGGAAACAGAGAAGTTAGTGAGGACCCAGAGCTCCACTCTGGTATGCTTATTATCACAGCACTATCAACAGCTCCCAAATCCCTCTGGATTTCCCCTTAAACTAAGCTCCACACTTTCTATTCAACAATCTGCTTTGATATTTGCTTGGTTATCAGCTATGTGAACTCAGCTATGAAAGAAGTAGTAACTTGTCTAGTTACATGTCTAGCATGCTGCACACTGGTAAATTATGCCTGAATTTGGAAGGTTGAGAAAACAGAATTATGAGTTCAAGACTAGCCTGGACTACATTCTGAGCCTGTTTAACTACCACCACCACCAAAAACAACAACAAAAGTTGTAAACAAAAATCTTCAAGAACTCTTCCTCAAGGCAAGATGGTCACTACAACAATATATATAAATAAAGAATACAAACATAAATAAAGAAATACAAAGTCATGTCATGCAGAAAACAGGATGGAATAGTGAAGGACTCAAGATTCAAGGACTGTGGCAAAGGGACATGTCTAGAGAACCAACAGCACAGACAGGAACAAGGGAATAAAAGGCTCCTAAGGAAGCTAGGCCTAGTCGTGCACACCTGCAATCTCAAGAGATGAAGGCAGGAGAGCCAGAAGTTCAAGGCTAGTCTTGGTTGCATGAGACCCTATCTCACCAACACAAACAAAAACTAGAGAACACAATAGTAGAATCAATGAAAAATGAACCAAGAGGGCAAGATAGAAAACAGGTAAATTGGGAGTGAAAGAAATTAAAATTCCTTTTTTTAAAAAAAAAATGTATTGCATGTGTGTTGGTGTTTTGCCTGCATGTGACTATGTGAAAGAGTCAGAGCCCCTGGAGCTGGAGTTACAGACAGTTTGAGCTGCCATGTGGGTGTTGGGAATTGAACCCAGGTCCTCTGGAAGAGCAGCCAGTGCTCTTGAAGCTTGAGTCATCTCTCCAGCCCCTAATTTTTTTTTAATGATTTATTTTATTTTATGTGTATTGGTGCTCTTCGTATTTGTATGTGTATGTAAGAGTGCTCAATCTCCTGGAGCTGGAGTTACAGACAGTTGTAAACTGCCATGTGGGTGCTGGGAATTGAACCTGGGTCTTTTGGAAGCGCAGCCAGTGCTCTTAACCGATGAGCCATTCTCCAGCCCTGATTCTTATCTATCTTAATAGGAAATAAACACACAATCAAGAACTTCTGTATAAAAAGCGGTAATAATGCTTACTACTTAGAAATATGGAGACCAGAGCTGAGAGTACAGAGAACAATGAAAAAATGCTCTTTCTACCCTCCCCAGAAATAAACAAAATATACCTCACAATGTAGTTCCCACCCTACAAGGAGAAATGTTAAAATACTTTTCTTTTTCCCTTCCTGGGGAAAGGGTGCTGCAGATAAACCCAGGACCTCATATAGACGGAACATGCACTCTAACCCTGAGTTAAAACCACAGTGTCTACAGACACATTTTTCTGACTGAAAACTTTATAGGAATTAAAGAGTAGTAAGTGAAATGGGGGGAAATAGTCACCTTTTTGAGCACCTTCATGGCAAATATCTTCCCAGTATTTGCTCCTGTTACTTTTCGTACTTGAAAAACCTAAAGAAATGAGTGTTTGCATGTTATCAAAAGCCAAACCATGCAGGTCACCTTCCATTATTCCTACTCAAGAAACATGTGACACTGTTGTTTATACTATAAAAAGTACATCACAAATGACAGTGCACAAAAATGATCCATTAGAAGAAGCCACATTTTAGGATTTACTGTAAAACGTGCGTTGCTGCCACCTGATGGCAGTGTTGGGAAATACCCAACTTAAGAGCACTGACAACCTAGTTCACATAGCAGAAACTATTAGTGCTCCTAAACTTGGAAAGCAAATTCCTGTTTTTCACATAAATTTATTCCAGGGATTGCTATTATTTCACAGAACACTAACAACTGACAGATTTTCAGTCACTCCATTAAAATGGCTTCTTACCCAACACTTTTAATTAACAACTAATATATATAAGATTCAGAGTGTTACATAGTCACAATGATTAGAACATATCTGAGTGCCCATAATCTTAAGAACTTCAAATGTCACACTTCTAGGCACTGACACTAGAACAGTATAGATAGTTCTTGATTTAGTCAAGTTCTTAAACTGTCTCTTATAAGCAAATGTCTGGGGGATGAGTTGTCTTGGGCAGAACACATAAAAATGAGGTCTTAAATTAGAAACCTAGGGCAAAACTATGAAAGCCCTTTTTTACAGTCTCTCAGCTTTTCTAACTATTTCTTAGATACTGCAAATCAAAGAAAATCCATTCAGATTCAAGCCTCAGTAACACATAATTTAACATACATCAAGTGGGGAGTGGTCTGCCCATGTTTAAAGGGGCACCCTACATAAGGTAACACTGGGTCAAAGAAAAGTACTCCTCGAATAGCAGGGCTGACCTGGCACATTACCTGTTTACTCATTCAACAAACACTGAAGTCTGCGTCATATCCATGTATAAGGGTAGGGAAGGAAGGAAACTGAACCTATATCCCTCAAATCCTGCGAGTCATGGTCAGAACCTACGCTGAGGAACGGAGCCAATTTCTAAAACCAAATTACCCAAGTTAAAGGCAGCTATTTAAAACATTGCCTACCTTTCCATAGCCCCCTTTACCAAGTACCCGAAGTAGCTCAAAACATTCTGGTCTGATTTTTTCTGGCCCTCTGTTCACACTAGTTTCTGAGATTTCAAATTTCTCACAATGTTCCATGCCACTGGGAAGAAAAGCAAAACCAGAAGTAAATTTGCAAAAAGTTCAGTTATATCCAGCACATTGTTAGAAAGAAAAAAAAAGGATCCAATTAGGTAAAAGGAAACAAGTTCATGACAGTAAATTTAGTATGTGTGATCTAAGTTAATTGATGATCAATTCAATGACACGTCTTGGGTCAAGGTCAGGGCAGACTGTTTATCTGCTCACAGAACATGCTATGACTATTCATTTTCTTAAGTATCAAGCATCCTCAACCTAGAAAATTAAAGCATGACTAAGCTGACAAAATAAACAAGTCTTCTAGTTACTCAAATTTAGTTCATTTAAAATATTCATGGGAAGCTGGGCATGGTGGTACATGCCTGTAATATCAGCACCCTGGGAGGCAGAGGCAGGTGGATCTCTGTGAGTTAGAGGCCAGCAGCCTGGTCCACAAAGGGAGTCCAAGACAGCCAAGGCTACACAGAGAAACCCTGTCTTGAAAAACCAAACAACAAAAAATAAAAAATGTTCATGAGATTACTTACTACCCAACATCATCTGCAACTTTAGCAGAAAATCTAGGATCTTTTAGAAATGACTCAATTAGTTGTTAATCAGCCCAGGCCTATCTCAAACTGATTAGGTAGCCCAGGCTGGCCTCAAAGTCAGCCTCCTGTCTCAGCCTCCTGAGTGCAAGAACCACAGGTACTCACCACTACCGCTAGGTTTGTTTTGCTTAAAAGTTCTTGATAATAAAATATACCTGCATTTCTTCCCATGCCTGACTTTTCCGAGTTACTAGCTTAAAGACTCCAAAAAGGAGTGGTGATTGTGTCTGACACGCACACACTTCCTCAAGGAGTAGTCTTGTCTTCTCCATCCCTGATGTGCTCGCCACTGGAAGGTGAGGAGCAGATTAAACACACACACACCTAACAGAACCCGTCCTACATGACTTAAATGTGCATTAATCTCTCTGGCTGAGTGACTTATTAAAGTATTTTGGGGTACTGGCAAAAATTTTTCAATAATAAAAAGTTACAAATATAGTTTTAAATGAATAAGAATTCCTAACTCATAGTCAGTGTACTCTGAATTTATCTTTTTCTACATACAGAATGTTAAAATACTCCTTTATATTCAGCAACTCAATAAACAACTTTGTAAATATGAGTGGTGTTTAAAACAGATTACTAGATGAACCCCCCCCCCCCCAGACAGCTGGGTGGCGGCAGCACACACCCATAATCCCAGCACTCTGAGAGGCAGAGGCAGGCAGATATCTGAGTTTGAGGCCAGCTTGGTCTACAAAGTGAGTCCAGGACAGTCAGGGATACACAGAGAAACCCTGTCACAAAAAAAAAAAAAAAAAAAAAACAAAAAAAAAAAAAAACAGAACCCCTTGAGGCTATGAACCTCCTTGAGAGAAACAGCACAATAGAAATTTTTTCATATACACTTACAGTTCATATGGTCCAACTCCCCCATGGTCCATGCTTTCATTTAACTGACCCTGAAAAATATTTTAAGTTTTAGAAATAAATAGCACCAGAAACTCATGCTTTCAAGTTTTTTCATTTTATACAGCTAACTACAGCAGCCATTCATGCATAACCTATAACAAAACCAAGTGAGCTTTCCTTCAGCAATTATGCTTATTACCTATTAAGTATATAATTCTTTATTATGAAGCTAAAGGCATTACATTCTGAGATACTAAATTAAATTATATGCTCCTCTTGGGTAGATTAACACGTTACGAACTAAATATAAGATAACTACAACTAGTCCAAGATATACAGTGTACAATGTGGCTAATCAAGGCAAAATAATTAACCAATCAATATAACGGTTAAACATCATATTGGCCAAACATTTATTCTAACCATAGAATAAGTGAAAACTGTAATGAACCTATTACGCACTGGCAATGAACAACTCCAAAATTAAATTGAGAAAAATGCTGTTCACCACAGAATCAGTAAAAATAGCTTATATGGTCGGGTGTGGTGATACAAGCCTTAATTACCAACACCTGAAAGGCAGAAGCAGGCAGATTTTGTGAGTTTGAAGCCATTTGAAGTCTCTACATCGTGAGACCCTGTGTTAAAAAAACAAATGACAACAAAACAAAAAACCCAGTAATTTCTATGCAGGGCTGGGTTAGGAGAATGTGCTGCTCTTATAAGAGGGCCCAATGCCAGTTCTGAGGACACACAAGAGGCAGTTCTCGACAGTATTGTAGCATGTGCAGGACTGGGGAAGGACTTGAAACCCTTTTGTCTTCCTCAGGTACATCCAGTCATATGCACACAAGCATACACACACAAACAAACATAATTTAAAATAAAATTTTTTTTTTTGAGTATGGCTTACATGTTTGGCACGGTACTGTAATATTTGGCAAAACAGTAAGACTCTACCTAATAATGAATGAGTGAGTGAATGAATGAACAAACGAACGAGTAAAAAAATTCTTTTTAGAAAGTAGGAAAAAAAAAAAAAAAGGCAAGCCTGGTGGAATAGGCCTATCATCAAGTCTGACTACTTGATTAAGAGATTGAGATCATAAATTCAAGAACTGCCGTAGAGTGTGTTCACAGTCACCCTGAACTTGACAAGACCTGATCTCATATCAAAAAACAAAAGGTCTTGAGATGTATCTCAGCGAGAGAACACTGGACTAGTGTGTGCAAAGCCCTGGGTCTGATCCTCAGTACATCTAGCTCCTCCACTCCCCCATAAGCTAAAAAGTTAAACCACAGAAAAAATAAAAAAATATAATTTTGAAAAACAAGTTAGTATCTAAATAGGTGTTTCTTCAAAGACAAAAAATGAACACAGAAAAATATTCAACATTAGTACTAGAAGGAAACAAACTAATTGACATCTTCCCATTCACTAGAACTGCAGAGAAAGGAGAAAGGGAGAGGACAGGAAGGAGAGGGGATAGGGAGAGGGAAGGAGCCAGACTCTGCTAGTGTGAATGTAAAATGTAGAAGTACTCCAGAAAATAATTTGGCAAGCTCTTAAAAAGTTTAACATAGCCTGACTGGACAGATGGCTCAGCAGTTAATTTTAAGAGCACTGTCTGTTCTTCCAGGAGACCCAGGTTAAATTTCTAGCATCCACATAGTGGCTCACAAGTGTCTGTAACTCTGGTTCAGGACATCTGACATCTTCTGGCCTCTGAGGGCAACATACAACATGAAAGTGGCATACAGATACACATCCAGACAAAATATACCTACACATAAAATATCTTTTAAAAAGTTAAACACAGTTTGGAGTGGTGGTGCATCTTTAATCCCAACACTGGAAGCAGAGGCAGGAGGATATCTATGAGTTCAAGGCCAGCCTGGTCTACATAGGGAGTACTGGGACAGCCAGTGCTAATAGGGAGACCCTATCTTAAACAAACAAACAAAAAGGTTAAACATAGCTGGGCAGAGCTGCAGAGATGGCTTAGTGACTAATAGAACTGGCTGCTCTTCCAAAGAATTAGGGTTCAATTCCCTGCACCCACATGGTAGGTACATAAGCATCAATAATTCCACTCCCAGAGAACACAATGCCATTTTCTGGCTCCCAATTGCACTATATACACGTGGTGTGCAGGTATATTAGAAATAAGAATAAAAATAAATATATTTTTAAAAGTTGGGCACAGTGTAAAGTGCCTTTAATCCCAACACTTGCAAGCAGATCTCTGTGACTTCCAGGCTGTTCTACATAGAGTTCCAGGCCAGGCTAGCCAGGGACTAAGACCCTGTATTCAAAAACAAACCAACCAACAAATAAAAATGCCAGTGAACCAGGTTCTTTAGTTTCTGTCCTTCATAAAATCTCAGGTAAATCTTAAAGGCAAAAGACTAATCTCTCTCAGATGTGATAAAACTGGTGTTACAGAATTTTCCTCCTTTGTAAAATTTAGTTGTTATTGTTGTTTTGTTTTTGAGACAAGGTTACTTTGTGTAGTCTTGGCTGTCCTGGACTCACTCCGTAGATCAGGCTGGCCTTGAACTCACAGAGATCTGTCTGCCTCTGCCTTCATAAGTGCTGGGATTACAGGCGTGTGCCACCGTGCCCAGACATAATTGGTTTTTTCTTTAATGTTGGCTTTACTTAATTCTAAATGGCCATAATTGTTTGTTTTTTTTTTTTCTTTAATGTTGGCCTTACTTAATTCTAAATTAAAGGGCACAGAGTAGTTAACAGCGAAGCTCCTTTGAAGCCACCTCAGAGGACACGCCCTCAGGCTGAGGCTCATTTCCGGGGCCTGTCCCACGATCTGCACCTGCACTGCTAATTTCCTACCGTTACTTTACAGAACAGGGACATCTGAGGCACAGTTCTTTGTGGCCACTCACTGCACCTTCACAAAACCTCTCACTTTAAGATTCTGCCTGTATGAGGCAGAACCCTGCAAGGCCACGTATTATACAAGATAGACTGTGTCAAACTAGCCTACCCCAGTAAGTATTTGCAAAATTTTAAATTAAAGACGTCTGTAAAATATAATGTGTACACATAATACATGCAATAACAATTAATGAAAAAGGCCATGAATTAGAAGGAGAGCAGGAAGGAGTATAGGGGAGGGTTGGGAAGGAGAAAAGAAAAGGGAGAAATGCTGTGGTTATAATCTCATATAGTTTTTAAATCTATCTAAACTTGAATTAATAAGCATGAAATCTTAATGAAAGTTGAGTACTTCATAAAAATTAAAATGAATTATTCCCCAATGGGAAAAATTATCCTTAATCCAGACATGAAATAAAGCAAACATCCAAGCCATATGCTGGCACATGTAACTCTAGGGCAACAGGCTCTGAGTTTGCTTCTGAGTGGGCCTATACAGTGAGACTGTATTTTGAAACACAAAGCAGGGAGGGGGCATACTCTGAGCATGGTAGGGCACACCTGTATTTCCAGCACTGGGGAGGTGAAGGGAGGGAGTCTATGCATTTGCTACCTGATCTCAAAAACAATAAATAGCCTAAATGTGGCGTTTCACACCTTGAGAGACAGAAGCAGATGGATCTCTGTGAGTTCCAGGCTAGCCAGGGCTACAGAATGAGGTCCCATCTTAAAAAAAATTTAATCAAAAGAATAAAGAATGAACACACAAGCACATGCGATCTCCAACTCATGCCATGCTATACGTGTGGAGGTCAGGGGGCAACTTGGGGAAGTTAGCTCTCTCTCTCTTTCCATCATGTAGGTTCCAGGAATCAAGCATCAAACTCAGGTTTGTCAGCCTGGCAGCAAGCTCCTTTACCCCCTGAGCCATCTGCTGGGGCCTAATAAGAAACTTTTTTTTTTTTTTTTTTTTTTTTTGAGACGGGGTCATTCTATGTAGCCCTGGCTATAACTTGCTTTAAGACCAAAATGGCCTTGAACTCAGAGATCCACCTGACTACTGGGATTAAATGCATGTGCTAACACACCAGGGCAGTATGCCCTAACTTTCTGTCCAACGAAAATCTGCTATCTCATTCTAAAACTTGTGTAATATGTCTTTCCAATTATTTCCAGTTTTTAGCTGGAAGAAAAGCAAAACAACATCTAAATTTTCATAATCGAACAAAATTCTCCAGAGGATAATTTTGCCTTAGTTTCAACTTATTACCATAGAAATACAGAGAAATAGAAGATGACAAAAAAACAAACAAACAAAAAAAAAAAAACTCATCATCAAAATCCTCTTAATCATTATTGTGACTACCCATTATTTTATTCCTCTAAGGTTTTTATTTTGTTTTTTTAAACTTAGATAACTGACTTTTTCAGCTTTATCTACAAATTATCAATTTAGTTTCATCATATACTGTCTGAAGAATTAACTCAATAAATGTCTATACTTACTAATATACACTCACCCAGTACACAATACCTACAAAAGTGTTATCTGTGTGATCAATGATTAAAAACAAATAAACAAAATACTATAGCTCTAAAAACATAGCGGCTCTAGTTACGTGCATTTGTTATTGAGTGGCTATGTACAGCTGAGGGTAAAATTACTTGGAACTCAGCAATGGCTGGTACTGAGAAGCTCCAGTCCGTGAATAAGCAAAATGCCCAATAAGCCAGGGTATTTTGAGAAATCTTCAAATTTTATTTCTTTTTATCCTCACTTTATAGAAAAGGAAAAATATCAACTTACACCAGATCCCACAGCTAATGAGTATGGCCCTATTTTTCTTTTTACTGAATTCAACTTGACATACAAATAGGCACACTGTGAATAAGGCTACTAAATGCAATCAAGAATCTCTGCAGGGCTGTGAGTTCTTTGGGTAAAGGACCTTGTCACCAATCCAGATCTCCTGAGTTCACTCTTCTGGACTCCCAGTGTTATACCACGGCATGATGAGAGCACACTGGTGCATACACAGCCATGTACACACACACACACACACTTGTGCACAAATAAAGAAATGCAGTAGCAATCTGAAAAAGATTCTATGAAGCAGTCAACAAAATGGCTCAGCTGCTAACAACCCTGGCTACCAAGTGTGAGGACCTGAGTTTGATCCTCAGACTCCTCACATGATGGAAAGAGAGAACTGACTCTCCCAGGTTGTCCTCTGACCACCCCCAACTCCCCCATCAAAATAAATAAATATGAAAGAAAAAAACCTATGTGCAGGCTGGATTTGGGGGTGCAAACCTATATCCCAGCACTCGGGAGACAGAGGCAGGAGGATCAAGGAAAACCACATGCTGAAGGCCAATATGGGCAGCGCAGCAGGCCCCTGTCAATCAAATTTATCAAGCTCAAGTTTCCAGGCTCACAGTTTCCAGGAGCAAGTGCTCACCCACTGGGCCATCTCTGTGGTTCAAGATATTTAAACCTATACAATAGGATCTGGTGAACTGAATCAGAAGACACTAATTGTGAGCAATCACTTCTCTGGCTTATGCCTCAGTTTCCTTACTATAAAAGAAAGAAGTGAAGCTACTCTGACATGCACCAATGTAAAGAAAGGTTTACAAAATAAACTAAAATTTGTACATTCACCATAGGAAACATAAGATGTTCTAAGAACCTAAAATATTCCCATACTTCAAATATAAATTAATTTTTTTCCAGAGTAATCTAGACTAACTCTCTTTAGGTAGCTGACCCATCCATTCCAACGCTTTCCCTTTATTTACTTTGAGACATTAAGACATCTCTTAGAAACATACTCCATCAAGGCCTGGCGTGCATGCCACCTATATTCTTGGCACTCAGGAACCTGATACAGGATAATTTGCAAACTCAAAAACACATTCAAGTTTGAAACCACCTGGCTTCATAGTGACACAATGTTTTGGGGGTTTTCTTTTTTTAAGAATGCACTCAGCTGGGCAGGCAGATCTCAGTTAGTTTGAAGCCAGCCTGGTCTACAAAGAGAGTCCAGGACAGCCAAGGCTACACAGAGAAACCCTGTGGGGGGTGGGGAAAACGCACTTAAGAGAAACATTTCAACTCTGAAAGAAGCATCTTCTTCAAAATCCTCTTCCTTCCTTCCCTAAAGATGTGGTCACATTCATTCATGACCCACCTTTCCTATCCCCTCCTCTACACCTTTCAGAATCCTTCCTGCAAAACAAAAGCCCAAGAGTAGGCCAAAACTCCAACACCTACTGTTCCTGAAGTACATTAAGGAGAAAATAAAAACAAGACCCCAGTCCATACCAAAAATCATAATACAACACTGTACTCTCAAAAGATGAACCCATAGACTGAAAATTCCACCAGTATCTAACGACAGTATTCACATAAAGCAACCCTCTTACCAGTTAACTCTCTGGCCCTACTCCAAAAACCACTGCCATATGGAACCAATATAACTGAGCAGTGTATCATATTTATAATTAAAGTAATCCTGTATGTGTTTCAAATTTAGAACTCACCACATTTGATTAAAAAGCTAAGTGGAATTCCACATGAAAAATGAGTTTAAAAAGTGCATGTAATACCCACATTTGGAACTGTGTAATTCTGACTGAGAGTCACTTGATTATGAAAAGAATAATACTATGTCAGCCCACTTTATTTCATAAAGTGTTCAAAGTCCTTTATACATAGCATTTCAATCTTTTGCAGAAGGGCACAATTTATACACCGAAGAAGGAAAACTGGGAATAAGTAAGGAGGGCCCTATGCAAATACCTAACATCAGCCATAAGTCCATATTCTTATACAGAGATGGCATTTAAGACCTAAATCACCTTGAGGTTATTTACTGATGACATTTGTCCACAATTGGTTCTTTAGTTTGACATCTCATTTTTTTTTTTAACCTTCGGTATATTTTATGTTTCAATGAATACCACTGTAGAAGTGATATTCCATAAAACTACCAGGACAGCAAAGGTAAAAACCGAGACGTGCATTAGAAAAGTGATTCTAAAATTAAACTTCAGCAAGGAAAGCCTTCACACCACTATTCACAAGACTCAGTTCAAGCAATTTATTTTTGGCGAGACAAATCACAGCTGTCAACACTGTTTTTTTTTTTTTTTTTCCTTCCCCACCCTACAATTACATAAATTATTCCGAAAAAAATATATACAGACAACTTCGACTTGAGGGAAATTAACTTACAAATGCCGTGTGTCATTATGAATGTCTTTTTTTTTTTTTTCCTTTAAAAAGTCACACGGAAGGGGGGGTTAAAAATAAAAGGCAAACAAACAAACCCTGGAAGATGCAGCAGAGCCCCCTTGCTCCCGAAATAAAACTCCTGGTGGCTGTAACAGCAGCGGTAGCGCTACTCCCGACAGAAGTTTTCAGCTGTCACTTCTAACAGCTGAGCGCTTCCTAGGAGAGAAGCGACAGGCCGAGAAGAGAAGTGGTTGTGGGGAGTCTGAAGATTTAAGACTTGAAATCTTACACTCCAAAAGGAAAACCCTTCCGCGCCTCACCTGCACTTCGGGGACACCCCGCAACATCAGCCCTCCCCATCCCCGCACCCCCACGGCACAGGCTCACACCACCCGGGCCACATCCAAGACCCACAGCTCGACCAGCCGACCGCGCGCCTTTTCTCCTCCGCGCCCCGGGAGCAGCGCTCGGGGCTGCGCTCAGCTCGGGAGGAGGGCGAGCCCGGCACCTGCGCGCCCCGCAGAGGCCTCACACCTAGGGCCAGGGCCGCCCCGCCCGGTCCCCCGCTCGGCCGCGCGGCGCCTCGGCTCCTCGCGGAGACCGCTCGCGTCCCCCCGGGTCTCCGCGCCCCAGGACACGCCAGGCTTCCCGGGCCCACGCCGCCACCCCGGCCCTGTCACCTCGCACCCCCATCCCCCGGGACCCCGGGCCTCACCCCCTCCTCCAGCTCATCCTCAGAGCCTGCGTCCTCCGGCTGGTCCAGGTCTATGTCAAACACTCCTGCCATGTCCTCAGCTTCCCTGTCTCGGAAGTCAGGCGCCGGGTAGAAGCCGTCCCGCCTCCGTCGTCGCCTCATGGGCCCGGACCCGCCGCAGACCGCACTGCTGCTGCCGCCATCACCGGCTGCCTCAGCTCAACGCGTCTGCGCCTAGGCCCCAGACTGGCTCCTCAAGTTCAGCTCCCGAGCATGCGTACAAGGTCCCGTGAAGCCAAACAGTGGGCAGCGGACGTGCGTAACACTGTCTCCCGGCTCCAGGTACTGGCAGGCACATGCGCAGAACGCCAGCCGAAGCCGAGCCTGGAGTGAAGAGCATGCGCACTCCTGCCTACGGAGTTTGCTGACCACGGAGCATGCGTGCCGTGCCTGAAGTTGCTAAATTGAAATTGAACACGCATAGTTAACCTTTCTAAATAGAAGAGGGGAAAGGAGGGGCGGGGGAAGGAACCTCTGCAGAGCTCTTCGTATAAGGAACATGAGCATTTATTCGTTCTAGGTGGTTTTTTAAAAAGGTATTGGAAGTGAGCATGCGCATAGTGAGAGGGTTGGTCTTCGAAGTTTGAACCGAATTGAAACTGCGGGTCCGAGAGCTGTCAGTGAGTGTGGGCTTAATGGGGAGCTGATAGGGCAGAAAGCAAAGAGAGAGTCTTGGCTTTACTATTTGCTAATTCAGTGGGTTGGGAAAATTACATAACCCTTCGGCAACTCAATTTCCTTCTCTGTAAAGTGAGAGTATGACTCTGCAGGCTTAGACATTAGGTTGAAACGCTGGTTCCCGAGCCTCTGCTCATTTCCGGGGCTCCGTAGACTTGATGTGAAGCATTTATCAAAAATGCTCTTTTTGCTGGACATAGTGCACATTCCTATAATCCCTGTTTTCGGGGAGCCTGAGGCTGTTCAGCCAGTTTCAGGCCTGACCGGGCAACCTAGGGAGACCCTGTCTCAAAACAAAGAACCTTCTGTTGTTGTTTAAAAATAATGCAGATTTACTTTAATATTTTATCTGGTCTTTCTCTAAGCTCCGACTTGGTCTTCCTTTTTGTTTTCTGAGACAGGGGAGGTCTCATTATGTAGCTCTGGAAGTTACTCTAGACCAGGATGGCTTCGAACTCCAGAGAGCCACCTCCCTCCGCCTCCTGAGTGCTGGGAAATACACTCGCCTGTGCCTCCCTCAGTGCTGGCGTTAAAGGTTTGTTCCACCACACCAGGCTGCCATCCTGCCTATTATTCGGCCAGAAGGTGATTGGTGGGTAAAGAAAAAGTAAGTCGTTTTCCTGGAAAACCGAAAATTGGTGTTAGATGAATGTTCTGTCGTTGAGCTAACTTCTGGTGTCCCATGTGGTGTGACGTGTATACAAATAATTCCTTCAATCAACGTTATATTTCCTTTAGACAATTTATTTCTGTGTGTGTGTGTGCACATGATGTTAATGTGAACACTTATGCAAATGCAGAGGCGATGAGGGCATCGGCTTTTCCTTTCTCTCTCTTGATTCCTTTGAGGCAAGTGCTCTCTCTCTCTCTCTGGCCCTGTGATCCTTCTGTCACACTGGTCTTAGATTTGTGACCACAGGCCAGCACGGGACACCTGGCCTGTTATGTGGGTGCTGACACCTAAACTCTGGCCTTCATGATCACACAGCCCCTCAGCCACCATTTTTGTTATAGTTTGTTTTGTTTCCTTTAAAATCATACTTGGGAAAACAGTATGAATCATATTTTTGGGAAACTACTGAACTGTGTGAGAGTGAATTTAGGTATACAAAATCCTAAATCCCCCAAATTATAGAGTGAGAGAATTTCTTTAAATGACTAGGTCCTTAGATGGAGACAGGAAAATTTTAGGAACATGGAAAGGTCTAAAAGGGTCTTTTATTCTCCTGTTTCAGTTGTTGTCTCAGAGGCTTACTGCCTTTGTCTGCTAACCTAGGCCTAGTCCTGGAAGCTTCTAGCCTCTTTACAATCTAACCTAGGGCTAGAATATTTTCAGCCTCTGAGACTTACTACTTAATAAGTTCACCCTTTCTGTTTATCCTGAGCTCTGGGTTCACTGGTTTAACTCAGCTGTTCTGGTTCAAACTCCTCTCCCAGACTCATTCTGCCTTCACCTAAGCGCGCGCTCTCTCTCTCTCTTTCCTCTCTTCAATCTCTCTATTACTGTCCAGGTAAAACTGCCTTCTCTTTCTCTCTCTACATTGCCCGTAAGTAGCCTCCCTTTCCTCTCTCTTCTTGTGAGAGTTGGGCATATCAAGTCTTTCTCTGATTCATCACCATTTCTGCCACGCAATTAGACATCCCTTTCAAACATGGGTGCTTCCTTCTACAAACTAACATTACCTTGATTGTTTGGGATTAAAGGCGTGCACCACCAAGCCTGGATCTAAGCTTTTCTTTTCCTGAAACTTGCTCTATACAAGGCTGGCTTTGAACTCAGATCTGCTTGCCACTGTCTCCTGGGTTAAAGGCGAGTTTGTATTCCAGCTGGATCACAAGGTCTTTGGATGTGATCTCTTTCTGGAACAACAGCTATGTTCTGAATTAAAATTCCTCTATAGGAAGGTCAGGAAAAGCATTATTCCAGGGTCTAGTTGAGGTCTCAGCAGCTGAGAGTCAAGATTCCAGTACAGGGGAGTAGGAAAGATGGCTTAGGGGATAAAGTGCTCACTATGTAAGGACGAGGATCTGAGTTTGAATCTCCAGAACCCATGTTAAACCAGATTCGGGAGCACATCTGTAATCTCAGCCCTCCAAGGAAAGATGGAGTGTGAAGACAGGAGATTCCCTGGAATCGTGGGCCACCTAGCCTGATAGACAACTGCAAAGAACAAAAGAGGCCCACTTCAGACCTGGTAGAAAGCAAGGACCGCACACCTGCACACTTCTGTGAAAGTCGTCTATATGGAGACAACATTCCTTTTATATAGGGCTATTTCAAATAAGAGTGTTAAAATAGTAATGAGCCATGCTTAAGGTCTAAGACTATATGACTTTCAAATGTGGCCTTATTCTGTTTTCTGGGACTCTCTCAGACAAGGCCATAAGCTCCATTTATAGCAAAACATATTAACATATAACTCTCTTGCTGCAACCTTTGTGCCCTATGGTTTTACCTTGTCAGCCTGTTGACCTTGCCAGTACACTCTAGGAACCACTCTGTAATTTCACAATAGATAGATAGATAGATAGATAGATAGATAGATAGATAGATAGATAGATGTAAAAAAAAATCAGTTATCTTGGGAAGTCTTTGAACAATGTAATGTCAGAAGACAATGAAACAAGGCTGAGGAGATGGCTCAGGAGTTAACAGAACTTACTACTTTTGCAGAACAGATTCCCAGCATCTTCAAGGCAATTGTAACTCCAGTCCCAGAGAATATGACACCCCTTTCTGGCCCCTGAGGACGCTGCATACACATAGCAGACTGACGTGCAGACAGGCAAAGCATACACACAACACTGGAATAAATTCCCAGCACTCAGAAGGGAGAGGCAGGAGGCATCTCTGTGAGTTGAGGCTGGCCTGATCTACATAGCGAGTTTCAGGACAGCCAGAGCCACACAGTGAGGTCCTGTCTCAAAAATGAAAAAAAAAAAAAAAGAATATTAAAAAAAAAAGAAGACAACAAAGTCACATTAATATAGGTGGTTATTGCTATAGCACTCAAATGTGATTCTTGAGAGGGCCACACCCCACAATGAGGATGTAGTATCCTCTTCTTGAGTGCCTCTCTTTCCATCAGCAGCCTGACTTAAATCTCTGTTAAAACTCTCTTCTTAGGAAAGCTCACTGCCACTTCCTGCTGCTGCTGCTCCCAAGGTGCTTTTTTTTTTTTTTTTCCCCGAGGTGCTTTTTGATGGCAAAGGCCAAGAACTGTAGTTGCTGAGCATGACGCTGCATGACCTTAATCCTAGTGTTCCAGAGACAGAAACATGCTGATATCTGTGAGTTCCAGGCCAGCTAGAGCTATGTCATGAGATGCTGTCTCAAAACCAAACACACACACACTCATGCACATATACATGCACTCATAAACTGGCCTGGAACTCACAGAACTCCACATGCCTTTGCCTCCTGAGTACTAGGATTAAAGGTGTGTGCTACCATGCCCAGACCAAAAAAAAAAAAATTACTTTTTATTAGTGTATATATAGTTTTAGTTCTCTAACAATTTTGTTTATTTTTATGTTGTTCGTGCATACCCGTGTGTCTGTGTGTGCAGTGCCTGGGAAGGCTGTGAGGGAACATTGGCTACCCTAGAGCTGAAGTTACAGGCAGCAGGGTACGGTGCTGGGACGTAAACCTGGGTCTTTGTAAGAGCAGCAAGTGCTTCAACCATTGAGCCACCTCTCCACCCTTTACTGATACAGAGTGAGCACAGCATGCTGTCTGCTCTTGTTAGTGTTTCTCACATCTGTATCTTTCTCTTTCACAGGTCACCCACCCCCTTGTTTCTCAGACGAGGCCCGCTTTGTGGCTCGGCATGTCGATAGTAACAGTGCAGCTCGGGCAGTGTGGCAACCAGATTGGCTTTGAGGTGTTTGACGCTCTATTTAGAGACTCACACTGTTCCCAGGGACTCTGCTCTAAGAGAGAAAATGAAGCGTATCAAGCATCCTGCAAAGAAAGGTTTTTCAGAGAGGAAGAACATGGAGGTAGGTATGGTCAACAGTCCTTGCGCTAACATCAACGTCTTCAAAGTTTGGCTCTCAATGAGTGTCTAAGCCCCACACCTTCCATTTCAGCAGGGAAAGCCTTTGCTTTTCTATCCCTACCCTGTGCTGGGATTTGAATCCAAGGCCTCAGCAGGCTATGCAAGTACTCTACCTCCAAGCCCTGAATTTAAGAAGAACGAAACAAAACAAAAAAAACAGCAAACACACAAACAAAAAATAAACCAAAACCAAACCCAAAAACCGGGGGGTGGGGGGGTTGAGGCCTGGAGAGATGGCTCAGAGGTTAAGAACACTGGCTATTCTTCCAAATGTCCTAAGTTCAACTCCCAGCAACCACATGGTGTCTCACAACCATCTATAACAATATCTGCAGGGCACAGTGGCACACACCTGTATTCCCAGCACTCTGGGAGGCAGAGGCAGGCAGAACTGTGTGAGTTTGAGGCCACCCTGGTCTATCAAGTGAGTCCAGGACAGCCAAGGCTACACAGAGAAACCCTGTCTCAAAACCAAAACACAATAAATATAATGAGATCAGGTGCCCTCTTCTGGCATCCAGGCATCTATGCAGGCAGAATACAGTATAAATAATAAATCTTAAAAAGAAAAAACCCAACAAACTGATTGTAGGGCTAGCAGTATGGTTCAGTGACTTAGAAGTCTAAGACTGTGGTACCACATAAAATCTCTGATTTGTTTGTTTGCTTTCCCTCCTCTAGTTCCAGTTGCCCGGGCTGTCCTTGTTGACATGGAACCTAAAGTTATCAATCAAACACTAGCAAAAGCCACCCAGTCTGGCCAATGGAAATATGGTCAGCACGCATGCTTCTGTCAGAAACAAGGATCCGGGAACAACTGGGCATATGGGTAAGAGCAAGCACTCATGGATTTCAGGGGCGGGACCGCGATATGGTTCAGTATTCATACCACAATCGGTGCACAGTTGATACAGCAAGCTCAAAATCGTCAAAGTGTTATATTCAAGTTTAGAATCTGGAGTCGAGTGTGGTGGCACATGCCTGTCATTCCTGCACTTAGGAAGCAGAGGCCTGTAGATCTCTGTGAAATCAAGCTAGTCGGGTCTACATAGTCCCAGGATATCTTAGTCATTGTTCTTGCCGTTAAGAGACACCATGACCACAGCAACTCTTAGAAAAGAAAGCATTTAATTGGGCTTGCTTACAGTTTTAGAGTCTGTCATCATCGTGGTGGGGAGCATTGAGACATGCAGACAGACATGGTGCTGGAGAAGTAGCTGAGAGTTCTGCATTCGGATCCTCAGGAAGCAGGATGAGAGAGACGGGCCTGGTTTGAGCTTTTGAAACCTCAAAGCCACACCCGGTGACACATTTTCCCTCACAAAGTCACAACTACTTTTACAAGGCCGCACCTTCTGATCTTTCTCTACAGTGCCACTCCCTAAGTATTCAAATATATGAGCCTTATTCAAACCAAGGCCTTAAAGCAAAACTAAAATAAAATTAACAATTTGGAGCTGGGCAGTGGTGGCACACGCTTTCAATCCCAGCCCTGGGGAGGCAGAGTCAGGCAGATCCCTGTGAGTTCAAGGCCTGCCTGGTCTACAGAATGAGTTCCAGGAAAGCTAGGGCTACACAAAGAGACACTGTCTTGAAAAAAAAAAAAAAAAAAAAAAAAAAAAAAAAAAAAAACAAAGATAAATAAATTTTAAAAAAAATTGGGCTAGTGAGATGGCTCAGAGGTTAAAGGCATTCCCTTCCAAACCTGAAGAACTCACTTCAGTTCCCAAGACCCACAGTAGTGGAAGGAGAAAACCGACTCCGCAGATTATCTTCTGACATCCACACATGTGTCATGGCACATGCATGCCCTCCCATAAATATATGTAATTAAAAAAAGAAAATTTAGAATGTCTCAGGCCTAGTGCAAGCCTATAATCCCAGCTACTCAACAAGATCTCAAGTTCTATGTCTCTCTGAGCTACAGAACAAATTCAAGGTCAGCCTGGGCAATTTAGCAAACTCCTATCTGGAAATTTAAAGTATATGAACAAAGGTGTAAGGCTATAGCTCAGCAGTGGGACCCTTGCCCAGTGTCTTTGAAGCACTAGGATCACTTTCCATTACCACCAGTAAGCAAATAAATATTCAGAATTTGATCTCATTCCCAAAACTCTCATTAGCCCTCTGCCTGTGCTCAGGTGAGGGCCGTTGATGAAACCGCACCCTCCTGCAGCCACATCTCCATCCTCTTCATTATTGTGCTGCAAAGTTGTTATCAATACAGCATCCTTATCTCTCACAGGCATCCAGCCCTTAGGGTGTTACAAGGCAGTAGTTGGCAAGTTTTGCTGGGCCATATGCTTTCCAGAGGGCAGCCAGGTAATCCCAGCCCTTGGGAGGCTGAGGCAAGATTGTGAGTCTGGGGCTGGATAGATGGCTCAGAGGTTAAGAGCACTGTGTGCTCCCCCAGAGGTCCCGAGTTCAACTCCCAGCAACCACATGGGGGCTCACTACCATCTATAATGAGATCTGTGCCCTCTTCTGGTGTGAAGTTGTATGTGTAGACAGAATATTGTCTACATAATAAATAAATCTTAAAAAAAAAAAAAAAAGATTGTGAGTCTGTGGGACACTCCCACAGAATGTGTGAGGTCAGCGACCTGACTCAGGTAAAGGCAGTTGTTGCCACGCCTGAGAACCTGAGTCCAGTCCCCAGGAGTTGTCTTCTGGCCTACACACACAGACACACGCACACCACACATATGATATAATAATAATAATAACAACAAATGAAATAACCCCAATGCTGTCACTTAAAAGAAACTTCCTAAATCCTGTAAATTTATGCTTCTAGCCATACATGTCACCTGTTAAATATATTTAACCTGTGGCTATCAAGTGTCAAGCTGGACAGTGGTGGTGCACTCTAATCCCACCACTGGGGAGGCAGAGGCAGGCAGATCTCTGTGAGTTCAGGCCAGCCTGGTCTGCTCAGTGAGCTCCAGGACATCCAGGGCTACACAGAGAAACCTTGTCTCAAAATAAAAGAAATTGTTGTCAATCAGGGAACCTTAACGTTACATGAGGTCCACTGCAATAGCTTTGTAAAGGTCTGGCTCCTGAACGCCCTTACTCTGTACCACATCCCTCTGGATAAACTGACAGGCACTGTGTTTGTTCCTTTTGCCATGACAAAGTTACTCTGTACATGGACCAAAGCATGAAGAATCCGTAATGAACTTAATCCAAAAGGAGGTGGAGAAATGCGACTCTTTGAGTGGACTTTTCATCATGATGAGTATGGCCGGGGGAACAGGATCAGGGCTGGGAGCCTTCATTACACAGAAGTTACAAGATCAGTACTCCAGTTCCTTGAAAATGAATCAGATTATATGGCCTTACGGAACTGGCGAGGTATGAATATGTTAATTTGTTATGTTTTTTGTGAGTATTTGCTTGCCTGTATGTATGTGCACACATGCATGCCATATATCCAAGGAGGCTAGAAGAGGGCAATGTATTTGTGGTCCTGGGGTCATGGGGTTGTGAGTCATCATGTGGGTGCTGGGAACCAAACCCAAGTCCTCTGGAAGACCAGCCGGTGCTCTTAACCATGAGCCACCTCTCCGGCCCCTATCAAAAGCTTTATGTTATATATTCTTTGTTCTCCCTCTCTTTTTTTAATCGATTTAGGCATAAGTAGGAGCGTGGTATGGTCATATGCCATTTCCCTTTGGTAAATATTAACTAGAGACTAATTAGATCACGGTGTGTTTTCTTCTTCGAACTTTGTTTTTATTTTATGTTTATGAGGTTTTGCCTGGATGTATGTCTATGCACCATGTGGCGTCTGAGCCCCTGGGACTGGGGTTAATCGTGAGTTGCCCTGCGCATGCTGGGAATTGAACCCTGGTCCTCAGGATAAGAATCCAGTGTTCCTAACACTGAGCCATCTCTCTAGCCCCTATAGGCTTTGTTCTTAAAGTGAACATGAATACATTATGGATCTCATGTTTTTGGGAATGTTGTGTTCCAACTTCAGGACTGATTGTGATATTTATGTGAACAACTAATTTAATTTTAATTACATTCTCCCAAACGTATAGAGCATCCTTTGTTTCTAAATATTTTTGTTTTACTTTGTTTTGGGTTTTTTGAGACAGTCTTACCATGTAGTCTAGCCTGGCTTCCAACTCAAGACTCATTTGCCCAATCCAGCGACAGGAGTGTGACTCCATGCATAGCTGAGGTTCCTTTTTTTGTTTTTTGTTATTTTTCTTTTTCAAGACAGGGTTTCTTTGTGTAGCCCTGGCTGTCCTGGAACTTGCTCTGTAGAACAGGCTGGCCTAGAACTCACAGATTGTCCTATTTCTGCCTTCCCATTGCTGGTATTAAAGGTGCTTGCTACCACTGCCCGGCCTGAGGTGGAAAGAAAGAAAGGATGGAAGGAAGGAAAGAATGGGAGGGAGGGAGGGAGGGAGGGAGGGAGGGAGGGAGGGAGGGAGGAGAGGAGAGGAGAAAGTTAGTTAAGCCTGTCATAGTGGCACACCAAAAATTTGAAAAAAAAAATACAAAATATGAAATACTGTTACTTTCCAGCATCATGGCTTTGGGGATATTTAAATTTTCTATGCGTTACTTTCCTCATGTATAAAATGGGGACAGAAATATCGGCCTCCTAAAGATGAAGGATATAATGCAAATAAAGCATACACTAAGGCCAGTCATGGTGGCACACCCTTTAATCCCAGCACTCTGGAGGCAAAAGCAGAAAGACAGGGAGATCTCTATGAGTTTGAGGTCATCCTGGTCTACATACCAAGTTCCAGACCAGCCAAGGCTACACAGCCTCAAAACAAAAACAAAAAGCCATTGTACCACACTTCTTTCCTGAATCATTTCCTACATTTTGTTTTCCTATTAGGAAGATAACAGAAAATTGGTACATACAAAAATTTCTTCTCAATAGAAAGAAATTAAGATCATTTGAAGGCTAGCCACAATACATGGACCCCAATGTGAAGTCAAGGTCCCTCTTTGCAGCACCAGAAAGACCAACCCTGAAACAGGCTCCTGAGAGATATGCAGTTGTCTTTGGAAATCATTGGTTTTCTGTTTTGTTTTGTTTTGTTTTTCTTTCTTTTTTTGTTTTGTTTTTAGAGACAGGGTTTCTCTGTGTAGCACAGCTCCAGCTGTCCTGGACTCACTTTGTAGACCTGGTGGTGAACTGGAGAGATCCACCTGCCACTGTGTCCTGAGTGCTGGGATTGGGGGTGTGCACCACCGCGGAATGGCTGGAATCTACACCTCTCACCACTCGCCCTCCCTCTCTGTCTTTGACCCTGTTCTCTCCAGGTTATCGTGCAGAACTACAACTCCATCTTGACGCTCTCTCACTTGTACCGGTCTTCAGACGCCCTCCTCACTCATGAGAACGACGCAGTCCACAAGATCTGTGCCAAACGGATGAACATCAAGCAGATCTCCTTCAGAGATTTAAATAGAGTTCTTGCCCATCAGCTGGGGAGCGTGTTCCAGCCTACATACTCTGAGGACAGCTCGTTTCACTACCGCAGGAATCCACTGGGTAACCAACCCCTCTATTATTTGTAGAAAAGCCATATGCTCAAAAAGCCCCAAAGTTAGTTCACGGTCTCTTCCCCTCCATGATGTGCCCCGAAAAACCTGCCTTCAGACCCACCTTCATCTCTGAACTGTCTTCCTGAAAAGCCCGAGAAGTTACTAAATTTCTCAAAAGCATACAGCGCGGGTATCTAAATGACCTCACCATGGGTGGGGCCACCATTTTCCTAGGACTGGAAGCAGTGCATGGCGAACGGCAAGCACTTGCTGAAATTCATCGGGTGGGAAGTGTGTGTGTTTTGTACTGCTGGGGATAGAAGTGAGGCCCTTACACACCTGAGCGGGTGTGACACCACTGAGCTACTCCCGACAGATAAAAGGTGGGTACATGTGGGGTTCCCAGAAATTATGGGGTTGAGCTGGAGAGATGGCTCAGCGCCTAAGAGCACTTGTTGCTCTTGCAGAGGACCCCGGTTCTATTCACGGCACCTCTGGTGGGGCTGTAACTCTAGTTCCTGGAGATCTGACCCCCTCTGCTGACCTCTGGGGGTACCAGGCACGCCCACAGTGAACACACATACATGTACACATAAGTAAATCTGAAGAAGGAAGAGGAAACAGTGTGGGCTTCTTATGGGAACTGGCGTTGTGTTTAAGGACTGAAAACCTGGAGGAGGGTTAGCTGTCACTTGTGTGACCTGCTGCCACTCTTGACAGAGCATTTTCTGATGTATATTATCTATTGTTTTGTGCTTTGGCTAAAGCTTCCTTGCTACTTTGCGATAATAAGGGGAGGGGGCTGGTAAACGGGGAGGAGGAGGAAAAGAAGGAGAAAGAAAACTCAGGGACTCCAGGCTGCCATGTAGTGTCGCGCCCATTGTTGTGTTCTGAAAGGGAAAGTGAGGAGTAGGGCTGGTGCAAGAGTTGGAGTTTGCCGGAAAGAGCAAGACAGGTGGTCTGAGGGAGGAAGTCTGTGGATAAGGGGCTCAGTCAGGTCCATGAATTGCTAGTCCAAGTCAGAGAGATGGCGAAGAGACCCAGGGAAGTGAGAAGTGACCTAACAGCGGAGCATGGCTGAGCACGGAAGCTGGCCTGGCGGCTTCCAGGAGGTAACCCTGGAAGCAGTGACTGACAGGTTGTTGCTACCTGGCCTCTCTGCTTCTGGGTTGTTATTTACCCGTTTTATTCTGGGTCTTGCTGTGTTGCCTAGGTTGGTGTTGAACCCCTGGGCTCTCAAGATCCTCTAGGTTTCTCGCCTCAGTCTCTGGAGCTGCTCATGCTGTGAAATTTGTTTGCTGACTCTCCCACAGATCTATGTTTCTGCTCAGGTCTGATTATCATTTAGCCAGATACATAGAAGATCTGGGACATTTTCCAGGGAACAGTCAGTGACTGTAGAATGGCAAGAAAAGCATATTCATTATCTTTTATACTTTTCCTGGAGTTTAATGAATTAGTCAACCATATTTCTACTCATATTTCTCTTGGTAAAATGTAGGATGTTTTGTTTTTGTGTATGTCTTTCATTCTTCCTTTCTTTCTTTGCTTTCTCTGTTTCTCTCCCTCCTTCCTTCCTTGCTTCCTTCCTTGCTTCCTTCCTTCCTTCCTTCCACCTTCTTTTCTTGAGATAGGATCTCACCATATAGCTCTGGCTATTCTGGAACTCACTATGCTGACCAGGATGGTGTTGAACTCACAGAAATCTGCCTGCCGGTGGCTCCCAAGTGCCGGGATTAAAGGCATACACAACTATATCTGGATATCTGTTTTTCTTTTGAGATAAGGTCTTCCTATGTAATCCCTTGGGTTAGCCTAGAACTTGTGGGCAATCTCCCTCCCTCTGCCTTTTAAGTGCTGAGATTACAAGCTTGAGCCACCGTACCCATTATAACTATGCTTTTTTCAGCCATGCTGAAATGAAGGACAGATCTAGACATGATGGTGCACGCCTTTACTCCCAGCACTCTGGAGGCAGAGTCAGATGGATCTCTATGAGTCCAAGACCAACTTGGTATACAAAGAGAGTTCCAGGACAGTCAGGGCTACATAGTGAGGCCCTGTGTCAAAAATAATAAATAAAAAAATGAAATGAAGTGAAGCAAAAATGTAGCTGTAGCAGACACTGTCTGAAAATTCACTATTTTAATGTTTAAGCAGTTCTAGACATGGAGAAAACACATTTGTCCCAGAGTATCAGGTCACAGTTGTGTAAAGCTAATGGCACCACTGTGGGTGAAGTCAAATTAGTTCATGTTGCGTTATTTTCTTTTCCTTACAGGAGACTTAGTGGAGCATTTAGTTCCCCACCCTGAATTTAAGATGCTGGGTGTCCGGAACATTCCTCAGATGTCTGCGAACTCCCTGGCGTTCAGCACATTTACCTGGGCTGGCCTCCTCAAGCATTTAAGACAGATGCTTATTTCCAGTGCAAAAATGGAAGAAGGTAAAAGGGTATTTTAAAAATAGACAACCCACATACCAGGGAAGCGCCTGTCCTGGAGCCCTGAGTATAAACCGGCTCAGTCTGGTTGAAATAAAGGCCCCTTCTTCTAGCCACATAGCTTCCTACAGAAACTCGCTGGGACGCTGCTAAGGGCTTCTTGATGGCGTTACAGTTCCATTTAGAAAGGACATTTCAGACAAGTGCCATGTCATTTAAAAATCATTATCTTATTTTAATCAAAGTAACATATGGATGTAGTTTTAAATCAAGTAGCTCAATTGGAAGAGTGTTTGCCCAGCATGTGTAAGGCCCTAGGATCAGCCCTCAGCCCCACAAAACCAGGGTTAGAAGTACACGCCTGCCTGCGACCCCAACATTGCAGGCGTGGAAGCAGGAAAGTGAGCAACAGGGCCTGACTCAGCCTAAGGTCAGCCTAAGATATTTGGTTCTGCCTCAATCAAAAAAAGACATGCGCCAGCAAGGTGGCTCCATGGGCAAAGGTGCCTGTGTCCAAGCTGATGGCCTGTGTGTAATCTCTGGGACCCACATGGGGAAGGAGAGAGCCAACTCTTAAAAGTTGTCCCTGACTTCCACATGTGCACTGTGGCACACATAAGCACATGTCTACATGCATGAACACACACACACACACACACACACCACAGCAAATAAACCAAAAAATTTTTCTTTTGGTTTTTTGAGACAGGGTTTCTCTGTATAGCCTTGGGTATCCTGGAACCCACTCTGTAGACCAGGCTGGCCTCGAATGAATAGAGATCTGCCTGCCTCTGCCTCCCAAGTGCTGGGATTAAAGGCGTGTGCACTACCACTGCCTGCCTGTTCCTGGGTTCTTGATCCTCCTGCTTCCACCTTCCTGTTAGGATTATAAGACTGTAAGTGTGCACCATAGCCTGGTGGCAGTGGCACACGTCTTTAATCCCAGGACCTGGGAGTCTGAGTTCGAGGTCAGCCCGGTCTACAGAATGAACTCCAGGACAGCCCCAAACCCCTCTGCCCTTGCAGTATGCCCGCTATGTTAATGAGAATTCTTCCAAGAGGAGCAGAGAGGAGTCTCTGCATGGAAGAAGGCGGTGTCAGGATAACTCATGAGGGCTCTGGCTGTAGGTTGGTGATGGGTTCAAATCACTGTCTTGGCACTGATCTTCTCAGAGCCAGGATAGGTAAAGCTTCCACACAGTGACTCAGTTTCCCATAGGACTCTGCATGGCTGTGTCTACAGTCGCTGAGGCTGGCCTCAATTAGCTTTTTCAGAGCAGAAATCTCACTGTTCCTTGGCTGTTAGAAATGCCTGTCTTGTTCCCAGGACTTCGGTAGTGGGCGGGCAGAGTTTCCCCTGTCAAGGCTGCTCAGTGGTTCTGCTGATGCTGTCTTCATGTCTGTTGCTTTCCCCCTATGTTAAGACATCCTCTGTTGTCTTAATGGGAGTTGGGGAGAGGCAGACACCTGTGTCTGTGGACCTTTGCTTTTAACTGGAAGTCACTGGCTGTTACGGGAAAGTGTGAAGTAACAAGTCGATCGTCCCTGTTTCCCTTGCTGGAAACAGCTTTTATGTTTGGACAGCAGTGCCAGAGTTTGGAAACGCTTTCCCACTTTTTTCCCCAGCATTTGTTTTTCCAGCAGTACCTGCTTATATCTCCTGTTGCACAGTGTTCTTCAAGGTGAGGCACACCTCAGCAGCCTCTCTCAAATAACAAAGTGCAGTTTGCTTAGTCATTTTCTCACATGGAACTGGAGGCTGTCAATGGTTTATTATAATTGGTTATAGATAGAGTTTAAGCATGTAATTTTTTTTTTTGCGGTGCAGGGATTGCATTTAGTTTCATATGTACTGGCTAGTGTACTACCAGTGAGCTACATAGCCAGCTCTGAATGTCTTTAGTTTTTGAATGTATGACTACGGATATGGGTGAGCATGTTTATGGCACAAACCAAGGTGAAGGGTCTAGTTTTATAACTGTTCATGTGCTACCAGAGTACTCTGTATAAAGACTGGCCACTTTTGTCACCATTATTATCTATCCGCAATGTCCCAGCAACAGGGGAATGAATGATTGAAGCAAGAGAGTAAAATTACTAGATGTAATAACACTCGCCTTTGATCCCAGCACTCAGGAGGCAGAGGTTGGCAGAAGTCTTAAGTTCAAGGCCAGCCTGGTCTACAGAACAAGTTAGGACAGCCAGGGATACTTAATAAACAGGTCCTAGGGGAGAAGAAAAGGAGAGACAGACAGACAGACACAGAGGCAGGAGAGGTTACAGTGTAATTCTCTATCAGGCTTTGAAGCTGAACATGGTTGTGCATACTTGTAATCCCAGCATTTTGAGGCTACCCTGGGACTATATAACAAGACCCCATAAAAAGAAAGAAAGGAAGAAAGAGAGAGAGAGAGAAGGAAGGAAGGAAGGAAGGAAGGAAGGAAAGAAAGAAAGAAAGAAAGAAAGAAAGAAAGAAAGAAAGAAAGAA